ATTAAAATCTTGCCTTCCTTTGCAGTTGGAAAAGATTCGGCATTAGGTGTTATAAGTCCCAAAGCACGATAAATAAATAAAAATAACAACAAAATGACATAGAACTGATAGACGTTTTTTCTTGTGCGTGTCAGCCATGGTCTACCAAATTGCTATTCAGTAAGAAGAAACTCATTTTTCAGTTTCCATTTTAATTTCCTGACAAATAGAGCGATCATCTCAGGATTTTTTCTATGATCTATGTGTCGCCCTAGCAACTTCTGTTTTAGAGAACAATAGAACAATAGAAAAGATTACTTTACCATAATTTTAATCATCCAACATTGTAGACATATTTAGAATTAAAAATATGAAGAGAATGACAAAACCTCTTAAAACACATTTCTTAGGAAACAAATAGTGTCGTATTCTTGTTACTATAGCAACATAGTTTTTTCTTTTTGTCATTTTTGTCATACAGATTACCTATCATACCAGGACCAAATCCTGAAAATTTGAATTCAGTATCTTCATTAGTATCTTAGATATATATATAGGTTTCTTATAGTATCCCCTGCAGATTTTATCGGAGTATAAGGAAAATGCTCTGAAGAGGGTTGCCCAAGGATGCCACTTAACAGTATTTTTGAGGTCCCAACCCTCTATTCATGGGAATAGTTAACCATTGTAAAGCTTCTCATGGTTAACTGACAGAATTGAATGTATCTTCAACTAAGAAGACAATAAAATGTTATAAAACCAGAAGATAACCACACCAACTTTCTTCTATTTACCAGGGGTAGGGCACTATAAAGTCATATTAAAATTACAAATAGTACTTCATCACTATAATAGATGTATTACAATATCACACATAGCTTGGGAATGTTGTTAGAATACTACTTTGAGCTGTTTAAGTTATCATATTTTGCTTGAAGCTACAAATATAAAATAAGCAAGAAAAAAATGAGGAAAATTGCATATTTTTTTCTAATTAATTGTATTTTTCCGAAACCAACAAAGATATCAACTTATAACTTTAGGATAGTATTCATCTCTGTACTAACAATGTATGCTGTAGAACTCAGAACAATAGTTTATATATCCTTTGAGTAATGAACTAGTTTCATAGTACCCCCTAGAATATTTTCTTAGGGGGGTAAAAACGCTAAAATTCAGTGTCGTGACCACCCCGTTGAGCTGTCATCTTTTAATATCTTTATCAGCATGAAAAACTGATCCAGAAGAAATAGGTCTGTTGCTTTTTCTAAAAAATGCCTCAAAAACCCTTTCCCTTGAGATATTCTGAAATTGGAACCTGTCTATACCACATAAAAGTTTAATAGAAACTGCTTAAACCTGGATTAAATGTGGGTGGGAAAATGTTACCTTTTTGCACTTAAATGTTAAAAGAAAAAATGATTTCTCCTTTGAACAATTAAGGCACCATAGAATGTCTCCTTGAAACTTGCTAAACATATACCGTACAAATTGTTGTTTATTTCCAAATAGGCCTTGATATTTCCTCATACTTCAGTCCTAAATCATGGCTCCCATGGGTGTTTCACAAGTTGCCCTATGCTGTGAAGACTGTTTTTGAAGTGGTAACGATTTGTTTTTGTGACTCACTAATTGTTCCTTGATTTGCAATGTTGGTCTGTTAAACACAGTTGGGTGAAATATGATACTTGTGACTTTTCTGGTAACCTGTGGATTTTCACTGTTTTAACATTCCATTAAAGTTTCAAAATAATGAATAATGTGTAGTGTCTCCTAAAATGACTTATAGTTTTATCTGTTCCTTTGAGAACATATACATACTCATTTCTATGAATTATATTTGATCGATTTTTTAAAAGTTTGAAAAAGGTAGAAATAAATGTTTCTAAAGATAGAAATGAATTTGAAGTATACAGTACTTTCTCTCTTGAAATAAAAGGCTGGCCATCTACATCTATCAGGGTTTATGAAGAGGGTCTCAGACTTACTGATCAAACCTGAAAGAGAATTAAGGGGGGGGGGGGTCATAGCTAGTTTAGGTAGGGAGAAAAAGGTGGCTCTTGGTTAATGGCAGTGGGTGGCACCAGGGCTAAGAGCCTTGTCCTTCAAGAAGCAATAGGATATATTCAAATGTATCATCACATTGTCACACCTAAACCAACCAACGAGCCATCCAGTGGTTAATGCTTGCCCTATATTGGTTTCAATGTAAAAGCATTTGACCCAAGCTTAATGTAAACTAAACCATGGTATGGACATTCTTCTTGTATTCTAACCAGCACAGGTGAATGAAGAAAGTGTAAATACAAATGATTGCTGTTTATATTACTGGTCATAGAAAAGCAGGTGGTGGTTTTAGCCAGGTCATTTTGAATAAATGGAGGAATATTTATACAAAGGGCAACAAAAGCAAAACATAGAGACCTGTTTTACAGTAAAGCCTGAACTTGAACTGACCATCTATGTATATGTTACAAATGATAAGCGCTTATACAAAAAATGTGAAAAAGTTACCAGTTATCTTTTTATTATGTATTATCACTAAGGTTTACATACTCTACAGTTCTTGTCTTTCTTTTCTTTCTCTACATTAAATAAAATCATCAATTGGTATCTTGTGGAATAATTAATACATTGAAACAAATGCTTTAAACTTTGTGTTCCATATTCATCATACCAGTACCATGTGCCCTTGTTGGAACTGTGCGCTCATTAGAGAGAATATGGTATTCATATTTAATGTAGATGCTTAGGATGAGAATTTTTCATGATTACAATAATTATTAATAGAATTGTAATATGTATCAAAAATGGTAGAGTTTATAGTTCACAATGAAACAGTTCAAATAAATGGACTTGAAATGACATTTTGTCAGTTTCTTGTTTTGAACTTTTTTTCATGAAAATTTGAAACTACCGTAAGCCTACCCTACCCTGTGTTCAAGACAGGTGTTGGCCATTGACAGGTCAGTGCTCTCTCATTCACTGTCAATTTCTCCTCTTTTGTGAAGGTTCAGTTGTAAAGTATTTTTACTATACATTCTTAATGTTCATTGATAAATGCTCTCGAAAGGCATTTGTATGCTGCTGAGGTATAATAATATTATTTTAGGATTTGATAGTAAAACCCAAATGTACAGTAAAACCTATCAATGTTAACATCTTTATTTTTTAAGGAGAAGTGTTTTGTATTTTACTCCGAGGCATAACACTTGAAAGTAAAACTTGTACATCTGAGCAACTCCCGAATCTGAACACCTCTCAATATGTATACTTTTTGGTCTCATTTTTAATCTGCTATAGACTTCCATTTTAAAGATCTGGAAATATAGACATTTGCCAAACTGAGAGTTTAAGCCAGTCTCAATGGTATTCGGACTTGACAGGTTTTACTGTATATATATTGTTTAAACCATTGGTTTAAGATGTGTTTTATACCACCCATGCCTGTAGGTATAAGCCAAATACATAAAGTATGCTAATTATGTAGCATCTTTGATGTATTTCATCTTGATTGCAAATGTAGAATACATAAACTATATTGTAGTCTAAAATGAAGGAAATAATTGACCCAACTTTATTCTTCACAGCTCTTTCTGTGCTCTCTCTCCCCCGAAGACATACTTATAACAAAGAAGGTAATTTCCCATGAATCTCAAATCATCATTCAAATGATTTATTTAAACTGTTTTTGGAAAACTTTCAAAAATATATTCCAGCTTGGAAGTAATTTCAACATTCTGAATCTCCCCAACTAACTATACCCACCTTACTATAATAGCATATGATTTTACAGTTTTCATACTGATCTCAATGATCTCAAATGTTGATTATCTTTTATGGGAGCTTGAATGTGAAATGAATATTTTTTACATTTACATTGCTGGGATGAAAGCAAGGTCTAGTACAGTAGGGTATATGAAGCTTTCTTTTAAAGAAGCAGTCTCAACCTATTGGATGGGGTACTAACTATATGTGTTACATTGTATAAAGGCTGCATCAAAGAATTATTTTTGATTTAAAGAATGAAGATGAAGTTGAGTGCATGCAAAGGAAATATACCAAAATCTATAGAAAACTACACATTCTCATTGTGTACTCTTTGAACCTAGTTTAACTCAAGTTTGTGGTTTCTGCATGGTATTGCAGGCTGAAACACATGTCCTTTTAATAGTCCCAGGCACCATCCATTGGCAGCTATGAACAAATGTAGAATTTGTCAAAACCCTAGAGACTCTAGAATTCTTGTTAGTAGAATTTTTCTTGAATTTTACTACTAAGTTTATGTCTTTATTTGGACCATATTGCCTTTGAAATCAGGGACATCAGAACTAATTCTTAGATAATTATTGTTTCAATGAAAGAAGTTTTATTTTGCATACCATGCTTTGGTAGCACATACTCACTCAGAAAAAGATATTTTTATAGGAAGTTAGTGTCATATTGTAAAAGCCAACGATAAAGGATATACTATATATTTAACAATTGGTTACACTTTTGTGGTGGTGACATTTTTGTCATGCAAATTCATTGATGCATACTTGTCACAATTTGCTTTCAATAAAATAAATGTCTCCCAAACATATTCATTTTAGAACAAATGTATAAAATGAATGCAACTTGTTCCTGTCTATGTACCAGAGTAATGCATATGACCAAGATGATTTCAGATAGAAATTTAACCTTAGTTTTTTAAATACAATGTATGCATTCTGGTATGCTAGTCATTGCTAGAGCCCCTCTTATCTCTCAATTGCATGAGACTTTGGAAGGATAAAGACAAAGGGGCACGATTATTGCCCTGCAATATATTGGTCTTTCTGCAATTTAAGAAACAAAATATACATGTACATAATAAAAGAGTAAAAGATGTAGGATTATTTCAAAAATAAGGGTTAGCTTAATAATTTCAGTGTGCATTGACATAAATGTAAAATACTTGACACTACACATATATATATAAGATAGATTTGTGTGTATTATGAACCTATTTATTCTATTCATATCATGTCTATTTACAGTGAATGTGGTAGAGGCTCTCCAAGAGTTCTGGCAGATGAAACAATCCAGGGGAGCAGAACTGAAGAATGGTGCCCTTGTTGTCTATGAATCGCAACCCTCACAATCACCACCTTATGTCTGCTATGTTACCCTACCTGGAGGCAGCTGTTTTGGCAGTTTTCAGGTACAATAAATTTTTAATTTGCAACATGGTGAAAAATATACTAAATGTTCTTACATTTGAGGCAGTGTTGTTTATCAGTATATTGGTCCAATATAAAAAAAATCAAAGATCCCAAAATCTTTAATATCTTGACCTGGAATGACCATTGTTTAGCAAAATGGACCTTCGAGGTATAGCTGAAGCATTCATATACATGTACATGTGTTTTGAATCATTATAGATATTATTGAGCCTTTTCATCAAAAACTTCTACATAAACAACATTTGGAAAACTTGAGAACTGTATAAATTCAGCAAAAATGAAATGTGTTTTGAATTATTTGGGTGTAACTCAATTCAGTGAATTTCTGACATTAAACTATGACTGGGTGATGTCTGCATCTGATAAAAAAGTTAAACAAGGACATATTAACCATAGGAAAACTAAATAAAAACACATTAATCTTGTTGCAAATCAAATAATCGTAAGTTGTATAGTCCTATGTTTGATGGTTGAATAATTGTTCGACTGAGTACTCAGTCTTGACTTTGTTCCCCTAACAAGCTTCTTAGTGAATGAGTCATTATTTAGTTTTTAGTGGTTTGAAAAATTAGTACAATGAAACCTATATGTTGGAAAAAACAAACGATTGTGAAATATACAACAATAACAAGTACGTAATCTAGAAAAATAGATATCCGGATCTGTTTACTCACCAATTTTTGCTTGATTTGATGAATATGAATTGCGTAATTTTCATATTGTCAAATGGGTGAAAACACTATACACAGTGAACAATATATTCATATAAATATCTCATTGTAATTTCAGCATTGCCCCACTAAGGCAGAGGCTAGGAGAAGTGCAGCTAAAATTGCCCTGATGAATTCTGTATTCAATGAACATCCTTCAAGGAAGATATCAGATGAGTTCATAGAGAAAGCTGTAGGGGATGCCATGGTAACATTCAAGGTACAGTGTTTTCCCTTGCTTAAAGACTTTGGACTAGTCACAAAGGGTTGTAGCTAGACTATGTTTTCCGTTTTTCTTCATGGCTCTTTGTGCAATACTGGTCATTAAAACATGTACTTTTAAACAAATTCCCTTTCTAGCAATGATGGTTTCATGACATTTGAAAAGGGCATCACCAGTAAACTAGATTTCATTAAAAATTGAACTGTTGCACACATTTTTTATGGACTTTAGAATAGAGGTTTGTGACCAGTTACTGTAATATGCCTCTTTTATTTATTTTTTATTTTTATTTAAAAATCAAGAATGTAGACATGTATGGCCCATTTTATTGAATTGAAAGTTAGGATGACAGAACCTAAATCTAAACAGTAACAGTGGTATCTTCCACTTCACAAGAATGTCACAATATCTGTGTAATCCACAAGTATGTACGGTATTTATTGTAACATGTATTATTTACATGCCCTTGTATGTAGTACCACTTTACCAGGCCATACTGATCTTCTAAAGAATTTGATTCTCTGAAGTTACAGCTATATCGATTTTCCAACCATCAAGTTACATCTGTCTGATCTACCGGTGTTTCTACATACTTTAAAGTCTTCATTATATGCTGGTTTTCTACTTCAAAATTCTACTGAGTTTCCCTCAATTTTATTTTACAAATATGAGGATCATGGCATTGTAAGGCTTCTGAGAATGTTATTGGTCAATGTAATCACTTAAGAGTATGTATGAACAATGTAATAGCTTAGTAATGACTTGTATACGCAGGAATTACTCAATTAAAAGCTATGTTTGACTTTCAGATTATTCAGATCAAATAGTTGTACAATGAGCATGAGTCTGGACTTCTCAAACAGTTCCTGTTGGTGAAGTGATTCCCTCTCAGTTCTGACTACTAGTACCTTTGGGTTAAGTCTTTGTTTCTTAGTAGGGAGGTTAATTTACATGTTTTCACATTAATAATATAATGATCCCAGGGATTACTGTTTCAGTGACCTTCTATTTTCACTACTCCTCATACTCATTCAGGCAAATAAATACTAGAAAGGAGAGGCCTTTAAGAAGACAGAAATTCTATATTTTCACATACATGTTCTCCTAAAAACATGCAGCTTGACCTCCTAATGTTATGTGCCTCCCCAATAGGAAAAAGTTAAGATGGATAATCAGAATGGTCAGTTGAGATGTGCAAATGGTCCTTAAAACATAAGACATGAGTTTACATGTATTCATCGAGCCCTACTTGATGCTGTTAAGCGTTTTAGTTCTAGCATGTTACATTTGTTCAGTATAGTGCATTGATTTCAGTTCTGTATTAGATTTTTGTAGCTGGACTATAAATGTCTTCAAACTATCCTGAAAGTGTGTGGTATAGACCAGCTTGACATGAAGTATAGTATCATGGATAACATGTTATTTATCTTCTCAGTTTAAGTATTTACAATATCTTATAAAAGTTACCTTGCCCCGACAAGAGCACTGACATACACTTACTGTCTCGCCTTTAGGCGGAATTTTGTTTAAAATGTGATTCTCTGTGGAGAAATGTTCAATCATTCAGACAAAATAGTTTTATTTAGATAATTTACATGTACTGTATTAATTCTGGAGTGTTTATAATGAATTGAATAACTTACAAATATTGTGTCACATGTTCCAAATCAAAGTTGGCCAAGTAAAGGGAAATCAGTAATTTGAACTGTCACAAGATTTCATAGAACAAAATGAATTATTATCACATAGTCTTGCCTCTAATTCTCTGAGGCCCACTCCCCTTTTTGAAGGTGGAAGGAAGACTATAGGGTCAATAGTGCTTGTTCATTTTGGTTGTTTATTGCATGCAGTTTATTATTGTGCACAATTTATCAGAGAAACATTTTATATGGTGGTATAACTGGAAATAATAACAAACAAGCGTCTTGACCTGCCATCTATATGAGTCACCAAGCACTTTTACACGTTGACTCTCATACTGACACCATTCACATAAGAGCATATAGCCATCAATTTCATCCCATTATGCCCATCTTAATAAAAACAATTTTTATGTTCCAGGGAAGTCAAGATGAGACAGACAACCCAGCTACTGGTATAGGAGCCTTTAGGTTTATGTTAGAGCACAACAAAGGCAAGACCATGCTAGAGTTCCAAGAGCTAATGACTGTTTTCCAGCTACTACACTGGAATGGTAGCCTAAAAGCCATGCGAGACAGGAACTGCTCGCGGCAGGAAGTGCTTGCACATTACTCCAACAGAGCACTCGATGATGACATGCGATCACAGATGGCGCTTGATTGGATCTCACGGGAGCAAGAATCTGTTGGGATTATTATGCACGAATTACATAAAAGTGAACAGGAACTAGAAAATGCTCGGCTTTCTGGCCGTGAATTGCGCTTCCCTAAAGAAAAGCGAGACATTCTAATGCTTGCTTTGAGTCAGATTGGACCACAGGAAAGCATGGCTTGAATAAAAGAATCTGATTCATCCATCTCAATAAATACTTCTCACATTTGACTTACAATGATCTGGTTATGTCCTGCCAATTTGGCCAAAAATTATCTTTTGTAAAAAATTAAGATATTCTCAACCAAGTATATTACATCTGCAGATGTCATCTTGCTTGCTTTATCATCATTTGAATTTAAATTAAAAGGGGGAGAGACTAACATTTTTGAAGCTATCTTTTCAAGAAAGCATCACAAATGAGATCTTAATTTTATTTTCTAAAATGACAATGGATGTGTCTGATCAAATATAAAAAGTGAAGATTTAAAGTACAGGAACATAAAAAATCATTTGAATGTAAAATTGTAACAATTTTCTATAAATTTACTTTCAATTTATCTCTTTTCCTTCTATTTTCACTTTAGAGGAACAACTATTTTGAATTTTTAGTCAATATTACACATTTTAACCCAACTGTGCTTCAAAACCTACCTGTATGTTTGACTATGGCTATTTTATTTTCAATGTTGACATTAACCCTGTAAATAATTGTAAATATTACATTAACTTCTTTTTTCTATACAATTCATATCACCTACGTTTTAAGAATGTATCACATCGTACATGTGTTTAATTTGTAAGAAATAATCAAGAGGAAATCAACTTTTGTGAGATTTGTTTTTAAATGACAATCTTATGAATTGATTTCATTGCAAAATGTGAAACTAGAGAAGTAGGCAAGGAACTAAAATAATCAAGGGCATGATACATGTCTTATACTTCAGTCAATATTTTATAAAAGGACTGTATTTTTATTCACAGAATGACATTTTGAATACTAACACTTGATCATATATAAGAATCGAATGTAAATGTAGAAAGGCTGAACATTGTACACTTTTTGGCTCACATAATGGAATCATCCTTGCATACCAAGCTGTTGATGACTTGTGAATTAAGGTATCACCATGTGAGCCCACCAAATAACAATAACAGGAAATATCAAGTCAGAAAGTGTCAAATATATATTTTGTGTATATTTTATATGGAATTGTTTGCATGATACTCGGCTTTCTGTTTTGCAATGAAGAAAGACAAGAGCAGAGAAAGCATAACTTATACCAAAATGTAAAAAACTAACATATCACCATTTTCACCAAAAAACATTAATTTGAAACTTAACACTTTACTAAAACAGGGTATAATTTAAGAAACAAAATGTCAAAGAGGCATTTATTGAAACAAAGTGCCAGACTGTTTGTCTTTTTGCATGGGTCCAGAATCTGGAATCAGACCTTCAGAAAGGAAGACAATACCTTGGATATTGACTCCATATAAATGGAGGATAGCTCTTGTGAGATTCACATCTTAATCACAAACTAACAAGAATTTATTTTTTGATATTGAGAGAGGTATGTTAAAAATTTTGCCACAATTAAAGCCAAATGATGTTACTTATGCTGTTGTATATGTGTGAACATTAGGGTGTTTTGCAATGATGTTTTGGGCCTTACTAGGATTTATGTCCTATGATAGGTTTGTGTAATATAGATAAGAGGTCTTGCATAGTGATTAGTAACTTCACATATCCTCATCTTTAAGGTTTTGATGCAGAAAACGTATATTATTATCCATCAATGCCTGTATAGATGTGTTTAAGAAATCATGATTAATTAGATTTGTTATTTCATGGGCTTCTCATGAAAGCCCATGGTTACGTAAATCACAAATCCAAAGTTAGGAGTCAAGGTGGAATATACCTGTACATGTATATAGATATGATTTGTGTGTAACATGGATTATTTGGGAAGAAAGGCTTATAAGTTTTATGACCATGTTCAGTTACCATGTATGTACCTGGTACATGTATATTAGCAATCGAATTATTGAATGTCAACAACTTTTAATTTAGATTTAGTCTCCTATATAAGAGAATATGTATATGGTTATATATGTATTTATCATAAAAGATCTCCATGTGTGTTTGGCAGTATTAGTCTATATGATCACTATTTTACTCAAATAATTCTCATCTCAGTTCACAAATTTGGTTGAGTTCAGTGACCAATCACATTTCACATGCCAGGTCAGTAACCAATGAAAAATGAGCAAATAAAGATGGATAATTTTGAGGATTACTCACACATACATAAAAATAACAAAAAGTTCCTGTGAAATGAATGAAAATCTTGATCGAGGGAACAAATTATGACAAAACAGGCATATATTTTTACTTACCGGTAAATGATTTCCTATGGAATTTAATTTATCTAAAGTGAGATGTATTAAAAGAAAATGTGCATAATAATTCTTTAAACTTGCCATATTTGATTGAAAATAACTTTATTCTTACATCATGTTTCTCGATTGTTCATTGAAATATTATTTTCTTATCTTACATTATGCGAAGTATGTGATTCCTAGTAGTTATATATGAATGTATATATTAACAAAAGTTTTCAAAACCTATTTTACGGATGAAGTGTTCAACACCATATGATATTATTCCATGTTTTAAAATTCATTGCTGTACATACATGACATGACAAACGGATTACTCAATAATATTGAAAATATGAAATTAAAAAGTATTTTGTTATTTTATTTTACTACATGGGTCATATATTCATATGATTAAAGCTACAATAATGGATATAGGGGTGTGTGATAAAAGTAAAATTCGCAAACTCAGGCTATCACGCCTAACCATCGACAAAGTACAGTGACAAAAAATACCGTATTAAACTTTAGATGTACGATGTCACTAGCTGATTTGAAGCAAAGACAATGATGTAGGTTTGATGGAGGTTTTAAAAAAATAATCTGGGGAATGCATTAAAGATTTCATGTTTGATTTTTTGTGTATTTATTTAGGAAGACATTTAACTTTCTAATAACGTTAAAAGATTTTCGAACAGTGCTCAATTTTTTTCGTAGTCAATCTACCCATATAATTGGTCAGTTGGAAAATGTGTTTCTACACATTTTCTCCCCTGTCGTCTAAAAGTGTTGACGATTTTTATGAGAATGAAGTATTAACATTTTGGCTATAATTTAAACAAGCCACAGGGTGAACAGAATCGCACCCTTGAACAGAATACACTTTTCGGGATGGAAAATTCAAAATGGCCTCCTTAACATTTACCCAGACTGCCTTAAAACTAATCAGTTCTAAACTTTCCATAGAAACATCTCTAAAATTTTAGGATGAATCCATGAAACCTGTCAACAACCCTCAAGAGACACGTTATAAGGTATTTCTTCACAGTGTATCAGCTTTTTCTACAATTCAGATTTTCCTGAAAAAAATCCTGGTAAAAGATATACTGATGTAGTACAAAATATGTGAAAATTGAAAAGATTGACCATTTAGTTATGTCTAAAAAAATGTTTTAACATTGCTCTCAATGGGAAATTCTTTTTTATTTTTTAAAACATGCCTTCACAGACACGATATTAGGACGAAAAATCCACAATGGCGGCCTTAAAATTTACCAAGAATGCCAAAAAACTAATCAGTTCTAAACATTTATAGGTAGAAACATCCCTGATAATTTCAAATGGATTCCTCAAACGGTTTGGCTGGAAACCTGTAGACAAGCCTTGACAGACAAGATTTTAGGACGGAATATCCAAAATGGCCGTCTTAACACTTATCCAGAATGTCGAAAAACTAATCAGTTCTAAACTTTCACAGGTAGAAACATCCCTGAGAATTTAAAATGAATCCCTCAAACGGTTTGGCTGGAAACCTGTAGACAAGCCTTGACAGACAAGATTTTAGGACGGAAAATCCAAAATGGCCACCTTAACATTTACCCAGAATGCCAAAAAACTAATCAGTTCTAAACTTTCATAGGTAGAAACATCCCTGAGAATTTCAAATGAATCCCTCAAACGATTTGGCTGGAAACCTGTATGTAGACAAGCCTTGACAGACAAGATTTTAGGACAGAAAATCCAAAATGGCCGCCTTAACATTTACCCAGAATGCTGAAAAACTAAGCAGTTCTAAACTTTCATAGGTAGAAACATCCCCGAGAATTTCAAATGAATCCCTCAAACGCTTTGGCTGGAAACCTGTAGACAAGATTATTCGGGACGCCCCCCAGCCCGCCCGGCAAACTGATTCACTGGTGATCCACTCGATTACGCTGGCTACCAAAACGATTCGTTTTGGTAACAAAATGTCGGAACGTCGAAGGTACGATTTTTCTTTTTTCCTTACTTCACATATTGTAGGCAGAAATCCCACAACATTTTTAACACAAACGTGTATCAGTATCATATGTTTAAGAAAATGTACATATTTGCGAACAAATAGTTCAGGAGACAACAGAATCGTCGATTTAATTCTTCACTTAAGTTACATAAACGGTTTTTCGAAAAACAGTTAAGATCTGCACTTTTAACCCAAACCGTTTATGTAACTTAAGTGAGGAATTAAATCAACGATTCTGTTGTCTTCTGAGCTATTTTTTCGCAAACATATACATTTTCTAAAAAATATGATGCTGATACACGTTTGTGAGAAAAAACATCGATGGGATTCTGCCTACAACGCGTGAAATAAGGAAAAAAGAAAAATCGTACCTTCGACGTTCCGACATTTTGTTACCAAAACGAATCGTTTTGGTAACCAGCGTAATCGAGTGGATCACCAGTGTGATTACAATATAGCACCTTAGGGTGCGATTAAAATCATAAGTGTATGTTGTCAACTCGAATGTACGTTGTCCCATTGAACTTACTCAATTCAGTTAACCCTAATGCAGACAATGTATTTTTCATAACACTAACAGACAGGGGGAGTCAGAACTCGAAAAGTAGTTGAGCGATTTTGTTCATATTTGGTATGTGAATACTATAAGCATGGCACACTGTCTAATGACACTTTTGGTAGAAGGTGGCTATTTTGAAAAATGGCTGCCATTCTTGCTATATACTTTGTAAAAATGCCAGCCATGGCTGTTCGATGGGGTTTGCTACGCTTTGGCGTTGCTGTTGTCTAGTTAGCATATTGGAATAATATACTTGAACAAGCAAGTTTTCCAGCTCCAAATAGAAACAATAAGATAACACGAAAAATGATTTTTATATAAGAAAAAGTTTATTGAAACAGAAACCATTACAAAAGAACCAAAGATATTTTGATCAATAAGTGTTTTACTGTAAAATGTAATATAATTAATGATGAGTGTAAATAGTGAGTTATTTCTGAACATTTGACAAAGTAAATTTTCTCGACTCAATTTCTATTTCCTATATACAAATTTATGAAATCACACAATGTAACTTCTGTCACACAATGTAACTCATGTTACACAATGAAACATCTGTCACATTACACACACAATATAACTTCTGTCATTCAATGTAACTCCCACAATGTAACTTAAGTCACACAATGAAATATCCGTATCACAGTGTAACTTATGTCACATGATGTGACTTCTGTGTAACTTGCATAGATACAAAGTTATACATGAATGAGTTTCAGAAAAGCCTTGGGTAGGCTTCAAATATTGGGTAATTGTAGCTTTTACAGAATACATCTAAATCGAAACAATGGTACATTTGTTGTAAAATCCTTTTCAACACAAACGCTTCATGATTCATGGACAACTTATCACAAACCCCTAAGATTAACACCAATCAACCTTTACAGTAACCATGCCATCTTTTGTTCGACTTAAGTAACTGGCTTACATTGGCTAGATTCATCTTGTCCAAACAAAATGCTTTTGTTTTTTTAAATTGGCAACAAGTTACTCTGACATCATTTGTAGCAATATTTAAAAAAAAAGTTTTTATAAGTTTTAGAAGTTATTTTCAGGAATAAGATGCTTCTTTATCTGTGTCATCTTCAATAGGTGGCATAAAGTACTGGTATGTTTCATATAATTTCTCATTACACTATACGTATGTGTGACTACAAGTGTCTTGAATGAGGTCTATGGAAAACAATTTTTAAGTGCACGACTCAGTACTAAGATGTTGTCTACTTCAAATAACAATCCATCTTTCATATTGTATTGAACATGTTTTTTTCTTCTGAGGTAGCTACTTCCTAGGTGATAGATGATGTTTCCATGGTTACAAATAATCGATTTCAAGATTCGGTAATTAACAAAATCTATATCAAAGTTCAGGTACTTTAATAATCTAAATCAGGGTCCAGTAATTCAAATAATCTATGCCAGAGTCAAGAGATACAAGTGATTAATTTAAATATTAAAAAATAAACACAAGTGTGTTATTATTAAATGCTATTGGGGCTGGTGTTTTTCTGATGAGGGATAAAGAAAATGGAGTAATACATTAAACTGGGTGGAACTATTTAAACAATCCAATTTTTAAATTACTAGACCCCAGTCAGTTCTAATGTAACTGCAATTCTATTCCTAAATGTCGAAGTTTTACTAAAAAACATGCATGATAAAAATTCAATTGAATGGTCATATTTTTGAAAAATTTATATTCATTTTCCATCCCTTGCTATCAAACAAACTCAAAATGGAAACACTTTTATAAACTACCAATAACTACTTTTATCACAAAAGCACTCTTGAAAATAATAAACTTGTGCAACCTTTTATTGAAATATAGAAAATCAAAAAGTATTTACATAGACTTTATCTCTTAAATGAAGCTTTATCTCATGTAAGAGACATATATGACATCCCGTTGTCACATAGTAATACTGCAGTGCAAAATATACAGAAAGCCCAGTGAAACTGGAGTTAATCCATACAAGTCAAATTCTCTAATGGACACATCTTTTTTAAAGCAACATAATGTTATACATGTACAGTAAAAACAATATGGATGAACACCTTCTGTGGCGTAGCCAAGATCTAATAAAAACAGGTGAGGCACTTTATGATAAAATAGCTGAGGCAAACATGAATAGGTGAGGCAAACATGAATAGCTGAGGCAAACATGAATAGGTGAGGCAAACATGAATAGCTGAGGCAAACATGAATAGGTGAGGCAAACATGAATAGCTGAGGCAAACATGAATAGGTGAGGCAAACATGAATAGCTGAGGCAAACATGAATAGGTGAGGCAAACATGAATAGCTGAGGCAAACATGAATAGGTGAGGCAAACATGAATAGCTGAGGCAAACATGAATAGGTGAGGCAAACATGAATAGCTGAGGCAAACATGAATAGGTGAGTCAGGTGCAAATAAAGGATGAATGAGATATAGCACAACGAATATACAATTCTACTTCATTTTTACACAGTTTATGTTGAAAAAACATCAGGATAACTCTCTGAAAAATTTCTATTTCTGTAAAATTTTGTCGAGGCCTCACCACCCACCGCCTCGTGCCTGGTTTCACCCATGCTATTGAACACCCATCTCTGGCATCTGCCATTTCTTCAAATTAAATCCTCCATTGACTTTTGTTCCAAAACTACACATGAAGGTAACACATTTTTTAACACATAGGCACCATACATATGCAACTGACTGTACATGCATAAGAAACTGGTAAACTGAAATGTACATATAAAAATTGCTGCTGAATACATCTACTGTAAAACAGGCTGAATTCATATACACAAAATTTTCATGAATTCTGAATAAGTGAAATTAACAGGTTTCACATTTGATGGGCAACAAAATTTATATTATAATCCATTGACACATTTCTTCATTCCTTGAGAGGACATCTTTGCACACTCTGTCTTCACTGTGGTCTGATAAGAGCTGAGTGAATGAAGATCTTGGAAAATGGATTATATTCAAAACATTGTTTTTCACCAATTACATTTATAATTGTTTCTGAATAAATCAAAATTGCAAAGTGTCCTAAAATCAATTCTTAAATGTTCTTTTAAATTTTAACAGATGACATATGTTTTAAAGGCCGTATGCAAAACTTAAAAACTTTACACTGGGCCTTTAAAAAACTGAGACACATCTAATACATAAGAAGCAAAAATGTCTAAATACATGAGTTTTCTCACAAAACTCTAATTTCCTTAATATTAAAAAGTTCATATTTACAATTCAGTAATGCTGCACTTATAGAATGTGAACGATTTTCTTATACATGCCTCCTCCACCATTGAATAACTTTATAATGAAAATGTGGTTACCAACATTTATTTACAAAATAAGCTTGATGCCAAGCAATAAAAAAATCTTTGGCAAATTAATATCTCTGAATATTCGTTCTATTTTTAAGGATATGACAAATTCAATATAATGTTTGATGTATGGATTGAAGACATCAAGGGAAGACCAGTATATCCTCAGTTAGATTTTATATTTCTATAAAATTGGCCCATCATCATTTAACAGTTTTTCAAAACTATTCTTGATTTGGGACATTTAAAGTTAGAGAACCATAATCATATGTTATATATACATGCTTAAAGACCAAAAAGTGATCATATAGACACATTGAAGAAAATGTCTGGGATAAGTTGATAAATAATCAATGAAACTGTAGTTTCAGTCAATTATAAGAGGCGAAAATATATCACATATTTTTAAAGTAAATTTAGAGCTAATTTCTGGCCAAAGCGAAGCTAAGTCCTGGTCTTTGTGGCAATTTTTCTACATTTCTACTAGTGTTGTCGCGATGTGCCATAATCGTACATCGATGCATCGGCAATTTTCAGTAGTAAACATCGATGCACATCGCGATGTACATCGAGAAAAAGTTCGAGAAAAGTGCACTGAAATACCGAACGCTAATGCACTAAAATATCAAACAGAACAAATTAATAAGAGTTCGCTGGTACATCCGGGAACATAGTAACGGTGAAATGAAAGTAAAGTAATTTTTTTAGATTAATGGTTCATTTTGACTAGCTAAAACAGTTTTAAAGCGAAAGAATATCAGAAAACATTTGAAAATGAAATAAGACATGAAAAAAGGTAAGCAATTTGCATCAAAATAAGATAAGAAAGTCGATTTTTAGCAAATTAAAATTTTTTAAAAACATCGATGTTTTGTTTCAGACATTGATGCATCGCCAGAACCAGCTTTGGCGATGTATATCGCGATGTATCGATTAATCGCGACAACACTAATTTCTACACTGCCTTTTATTGCAGAACATAAAGTCTAATAGCATTTTGACTTTGTACAATTCAAATATCCCTCAATGATAAGTTCATGGATGTGTATCTCTTCTCACAGCAACGCTACTCTGTTGGTAGTCTTTCTTTACATTTTGTCATAAAATGCAATAACATTTTATCCACCTTGCTTCCATGATACATCCAACGTACAGCTAGTATATCATTTGAGGTTTTATTTTTAAGCAGCGCTAGCAACTTGCATATTTCTAAGCGGAGCTAGCATCTTGTCTAGGCGGAGCTAGCATCTATAATTATAAGCAGAGCTAGCACCTTGCAATCTCAGCTTCAGATCAGATTAATTGTAGTTTACATAAATACATTTCATGTTCAGAATTACTAGTCCATTGAAGTAATTATAATACAGTACATTTCATTTTCCGTCTTTTTTGACTCTTTTCTTTCCCTTTTCTTTCTTTCTGGAAACAGAAGATAAAAACAACATTGAATCAGAGAACACATCAAAACCTTAATAGTGCATTAATTCTTTATAATATAATCCCATTCTTTAAATGGACCAACCATAGTCATAAATTTTATTGAAAATAATCTAAGAATTTTTGTTAAATTACATGACTAATCAAAACATTCAGATCTATCTTTGAATGATTCATTTTGCTATTTGGGACAGTTCTTACATTTTTACATCATTCTTATATCATTATATCCTAATAACAGCCTTATACTTGAAAATGTATCAAATAGATACGATCCTTTTCAGAATTGAACATTTATGCTGGAACCCTAAATTCTACATACTTGATAAATTCTCAATATTAATAAAAGGCTGTTTCATATAAATACACTAAGATATTGTTTCCAGGCACATGTTTAAGAAGCAGATCGTAAGGCAACCCTAGATCAATGATGTAACCTTAATCTACATTAAGATTAAAATATCTCTCATGGACATGTTGGCTGATGTCATTGTATATGAGAGCATACTTGTTATTTATGGTATCACCTTTATAGATTTCTTCTATTACTCATGTCTTATATCAAGGCTCAAGAAGCATTACCATTTATCCCTAATTGGAAGTTTTTATATTTCTGCATTACAATTTGTTAGGTTTCACTTCAGGAAATCCATCCATATAACATTTTCAAAGCTCTTTCAATTGGTCTTAACTCTTGATATAATTATAATTTCTCAATTTATATACACATATGTATAACAGATTATACAATACCTAAACGTGATGAAATGTTAACACGTGTTTAATAATTATTGTAAATGGTTACAAAAGTGTAACACTTTGTTAGAGATACTGACAAACAATAGGTTGAAACTCAATGCCAGTGACAAATGCTTTCACAATATGCCAACAAGTCTTGGTGGTGACAAAACAATAAGATATAATATAAAAAAATGAACTTACAAATCTTCGTATTTCTCGAACTAAGGTGTAGAAGGCATCATCAACACCCTGTCTTGTTTTGGCGGAAGTTTCTACATAAGGTATACCATAACTATCTGCAACTTGCTTTGCTTGTTTTGTATCTACCAACCGCTGTGGTAAATCTACTTTGTTACCTACCACTAAAATAAACACAATATTCATTATTGATAATGCTCTAATATACAGGTTCTGCATATTCTAAGCTTGGCATTTTTGATATTCGCTCTGTTATGAAAACTATGACAAAGGGTACTATATTTCACACAACAAGGATCATAAATAAGACAATGTAGATCATAAATAAGACAATGTATAGCATATAAAGTATATCTTTATGAGTTCATGGGGACCCATCAACAGAAATACACTGCTTTTATGCCATTATAGATTATCTAGTTCGTTAAGCGAAACCCTTGAATAGTGCAATTTGAGTCAATACATAATTTAGTTCCTGAGGACAGGAAATATTGCATGTACTTTTTTAAAAACATAATGTGTCCAGGGTTGAAAAATAAATCAATTCAAATTAAAATGTTTCTGACTCTGTTTGCTTTTTTTGTGCTTAATCTACATTTGTTAGATTCATAAATTATAAAGGCCTTCTGATTTTGGATGCATTGATTTGCCACTATGCAATTCCTTATTATATAAAACATCCAATCAGTCATAAAAATTATATTGCAAAATAATTGTTGTCGGTATATGGTTAAGAATCACCATGGATTACCATGGCAATCTCTTGATTACCCTCACAATTAGAAAGGAGAATATCAGAACTGGTAGTGCTTAGTAGAACTATGTATATGAGAAGCTTTTATCAACTGATCCACATGCATGCTGCTTCAATTAAACATCAAATATGAGGCTTTGAGATGTACTTACAGACCATAGGAACTTCATCTGCGTCTTTCACTCTTTTTATCTGAAACAAACAAGAATATCAATCAAAGTAATAATAAAAGCGACTCTGAATCCCCATCTTTCTACAACCCTACCCTCTGACTACTTCAGCCGATTTTACATTTTGATAATGGAGATCTCCCTGATCTCAAATGTAGCGTGTTGCCTTTTAAAGGAGTTAGAAAGTGCTATACCTCCTTAAAGGCAGAAAATATAAGGTTGTGGTTCTCGTGATTTGATTGGATATAGGCTTCATCAAATTATCAGTGATATAAAGTATTAAAGGTCTTACAAAGCATATTTAAGAAAAGTCAAAAATAGAGAAATAAGCAAGGAGTAAAGTAAACAAACAGACATGTACGTAGCCATCACTCTTCATTGCATAAAAGTATACCAAAATATCTGGCTGTTCAGCCATTTTAGAGATAAAGTAGAACGATGGAATTAGCATAACCAGAGTGAATTGTAGTTAGAGTGTGCACGAAGGATCATAGACAGTTTAACACAAAATTCCACAGGTGAATTATCTAAGGCACCTTGACTTTTAAACATTATCAAAAAAGAACAAGAAGGTTTACATTGCACAGACAGTAACTTAAGTGTACAGTAAAAGTAACTTAAGTGTACAGTAAAACTTGTTGATTTACACTTGTGCAGCAAGACTATTGAGGTTATATTAGAAATGTAGATTGCTTTTGGAGTTTTTTTGAGATTGTTTTGGAGATTTTGGAGATTTGGAGTGCATTGAAAAGTGTATCTAACCAGGACTATTCCTGCCAATAGCAACTCATCTTGTGGTGTTAATATTTGAGCTATATATATAATGAATACATACTTGTTCCCTATATTGGTTTATATCTTCAAATGACTTTGGATTATTTACTGCAAAGACACATAGAAAGCCCTCTCCTGTTCTCATGTACTGATCTCTCATAGCACTGGAAAGAAAATCAAGCAAATATCAATTAAAGATGAAATCCAGTAGATATACATGTAAGAGCAACAAATATGATTTATACAATTAAATATTCAGACATTAGTCAAATCAATATCATATTTGAATTCTATATAAAAAATTACATAAAGAAAAAATGTTTATGTTCAGAATGAAGATTATAGCCACCTGGTGATGAAACCTAACATGCATTCACTTAATTACTCTTAAATATCACCATGGTTATAGAATAGTATTCAACCTCAGGAAGCAATAGTTAAGCTAAACAAATGGAAATTTCCTTGAAATGGTGATAATTTAATTTTCTTAGCTAATGTAAATTTTCGACATAATAGAAACATCATTACAACTGTGAGCTTGTGAATTAATGCAGTTGAAGAATATTGATTGGAATCTGTACAATGGTATGTCTGCGCTCTATCTAGGGTTGTAATAAGTCGAGAGTTATATTTAATATGTCTGGAGATCAAGGGATCGCAGAAATCAACCTTAAAGCTAAAAGTACATAAATGAATTATCAATTTGATGAATTTACTCTTTCCTCAATCTTGAATAAATTCTGCAAAATTTGATAATACAGTACAGACAGAAAAAGTTTTTTTTGAAGTATTATATTCACAAAAAGAATAAATCATAGAAAGGTAAATGTATATGCTGGATGATATGTTTCAAATTCAAATATTACAAATAGTGTGTGTCATGTTGCAAATAGCACAAAAATGGGAAATTGGAAGGCTTTCATAGATAAACTTTCATGAATTAATGCCTATATTAAGGGTCTATTTTACAGAGGTAAATTCAAATGTAGCTTCAGAGCTTGAGCACAGAGGTGTGTCTACCTCCTGGTAAGATTTGAAATAGCAACTTTAGAACAAGTGCTTCCTTGATTCCCAGATGTAAAATTCTGATTGAGGGGAATAACTACATTGGTGCCTCAATGTAAATAGTGGCCTGGGTTGCTCTCTTATAAGTTTTTCCCAAAATAAAACATGATCAGTGAACAGTGACTTTTAAAGGAAAAATTATGAAAGCAAAGATTCCATTCCTCAGTGAAATGACATACATTGTGGTAGTGAGATGTTATGAGAACAATGTAACAAGAGGTAGAAAACTGGTTATAACACCCCTAGTTGTAGTTTGCAATATCTGACTGTGGGAACAGAATCTTATTGACGTTACTTAACACTTCAAATCCATTCATTTTACACAAGGCCCAATGGGAATGAAAATGACAATTCTAAAAAGGAAACCTATGAATTATTCAAACTCAGAAAGAGGCAATGTGAACTCAGATGTGCCATCATATTAGTTTATCCTCTACCTCCCAATGTGTTTCACTCGGATTCCTCGGATATGTTTAACAAGATTCAATGGTTCAAAGAATTCCTGATGTTTATTTCTGACCTGTATTCCTCTTGACCTGCTGTGTCCAAAATATCTAAGAGACAAGTCTCGCCATCTATCACAACTTGCTTTCTGTAGGAATCCTCTGCAAATACAGGATTAAGTTTTTTATTATATAATGTTACACAGCCAATATAATTCGGCGCTGACTCGGCATCGAAAAAATTCAGCACTGTTCCGGCACTGTTTTGGCATTGTTCCGATATCGAAACTGAAACCTTTCGACACCAAAATTTGGCACCAGACTAGTCAGTCCATTTGGTGCCGAAATGGCACCAAAATTTGGCATCGAAACGACGTCGAAAATCAAATGCATTTTTGGGGTGTATATATAATATTAAAGCCCATATGATGATATCAATCATTAATCCTAACACATACAAGCACCATTCTACAGGAACCATCTGCAAAACAAGTATGCTTTATTTTGTATCATGTACAGTATGGGTCAGATTGTTAAGCGAAACTGTGAAGCTGTGACCATCATTGGCCTTGATGGTTCAGAAGAATTGTACAATTCATTTTTTTAACTGAAGGTTAATTGCTGGGAAATTACACTTTGTAATTGTTCAAGAAAATGAACAAAAATCTGCTTCGAACATTGAGAAAAAAACCCCACCAAACTGAGGGATTCAAAAAGTGAACTGTTCTGAACCCAAAATTTTGAAACCATCTGACCCCTAATATACAGTATCATTAGAAATAAAGAACAAAGCTACTATAATAAATGGATCAAGCACACAAAAATAATTCTCTATAAATACCTGCAAATCTAAAATGGGTGTTTTTATGTTGCTACCATCAGAGAGAGAGAGAGAGAAAAAGCAAGTATGACCTAGATGTTAGATCAAACAATAGGAATATACAAGTATATTGAGCCCAATGGCAAAGAGAATTATATTAGATTTATATCAGTAGAAAAATCTATTAAAATAGATATATATATATATCATATGAAAGCCTCATTAACCGAAGAAACCTTTTCTCAAAATCACGGTATTGCAATTTTTGTATTCTTATACATGTACATGTACTTAAAACATATAAGGTTAAAAACCATGATATATTTAAGAACCATGATATATTTAAGGGAGGTGAGTCAACTCATTGTTGTTGCGCATCTTTAGAACCTGCATACATAGTACTATCAAAAAGGAGAACTTGTACCAGAATATACTTTGATTTTTGATGTATTGATACCCAATACCTAAATGAGAAATCATGAATGTACCGTTAATGAACATGTAATGGTATATATCACACCATGTACTTTATCTTACATGTGGGCTTCACCTTAAGTTTACTATTGCATATTACAAAAATAAATGGTGAACTCCTGAGGACATTCAGCCAAAACAGCTGGAAAAATATTATAATTTTCAAATGCTTTTAGATGATAAAGTATTAGTGAATCATTTAAGTTCTCAGCAATGTAGATAATTGATTCATTTCATCGTTTAAATTTATGCATAATACGAGTATATAGCTTTCTATTCGATTTCATGGCATCAAATGCTAAGTAGTTTTCTTACAAATACAACTGTCAAGACAACTGCATGTAAAATAAAATAGAACCATATTCTTATTAGACATACTGAATCCTAAAAAAAGAAAATAAGCAAAATTGAATCGTGAGTAACTTTAATACACACTTATCTGTTACTAAGTACAATCAGGGCACACCCTTTTGATCACCATTTGGCATTAGGAGAGGTAAAACATGTATCAAGTTCTAACAGCTTCACTTATGATGAGGACTAATGATTACCTGAAGAGATCAATACTATTATATTTCGATAATGTAAAATATTATTGTTTCTCTCCTTCTAATTTCTGCCCTTTACATTACAGTAGAATAATGTCAAATTCAAACCAAACATCATTGTGACTGGTTTCAGATGTTCAAACTGGGAAAAATGATTCCAAAAAATGTTTATATAAATAGATGTTCAGATAAGAGAGGTAGTTTTCAGATATGCAGATTCAACTGAACAATCAATTTGCTAGTAATCATCTGCTTTTAAGTAGCAATATAACTGAAAGAATATCTGATGTTTATTCATACAACTATATGAATATCTATACTCAAGCATATTGTTAATATTAATTTGAAAATAAATAGACTCGTTTCAACTCATCATTTTATCTATATAAACTTAAAATAAACACAGTGTATGGTTAATCGATAACCCAACGAGACTAATATGTCAAAAGCTCAAAGTCAATGATGCTGAAGTAAGTTGAATTATTGGTTTATTTTATTTTTCATTTTTTATACTGATACCTTATGATCAAATCTAACAACGATTTTCAAAATAACACTCCAGATTTAATTTTATATCAATCTATGCAGACAAAACCAGCAAAAAATACTAGGATGAGCAAGGAGCAAAAATACTTGCTCGGTAAGGAGCCAATGGTCATTTTCCAATTTGTGGTTTAATCAATCATAGCATGGCACAAACCCATTTCTGACATGGTCACTTAAATTCCTTAGAACTCAGTCATCTGTGAAGGAAATTAGACAACTTTGGTATCATAAGAAAGGACATCATAATCTATCAGATTGTAGCTGTGAAATTTTCTTATTATCATTCATATTTGAGAAATAAACAATTAAATCTCGGTTTCCTTTTTTGAGACACCCTGTATAATGCCAAAGGATTCATTTACAAAAAAAATTACATGAGAGTTTGCTAATTGAACACTGGCAACTCAATTTCATATAGTGATGCACTCACAATGTAATTTATAAGGTTTTCATGGCAATTCAATTATTTTCAAGGATGAAATCCCATTGAAGTGCTGTGTTATGAGTTTGTGATTGGAAATATCATTGGAATTTACATTGTATCTGGATATTGTAAACTTTACATGCTTAAAGGGGTAGTATACCAGAACAATTCCCCCACTGACATCCAAATTACTGTATTTTTTCTTGAATAGACTATCTTGAATTAAAATATGTTTTATTGTCATTTTTACAATATCAGGTCCAAATATTTCGCACAGCCAAATTTGGCTTCAAAATCAATGTTCAAAATCCTAAAATGTTATCCTAAAATCACATAATCTTAAAATGTTAGACTAAAAATTACAAAATCCTAAAATGTAGAATCAAAAATATCCTCTACAGAGGCAAACTCTATCAGGAGTACTGCGCCAGTAATGACATCTTCAAGTAGTTTACAGATGGTCATCATGAACTTTCATATCATTAATTAAAACAAGTTTCATCAGAGCAAATGATAAAATATCATAAGATGACAGAGAAGCATAGCTCATACAGCACCATTACTATTTTTATTATCCAGAGATAGGAACTAGCATCTCATACTGATTTAATGATCTCTCTGACATGAAGGGGTTTAAAACAAAATGTCTCAGATGATGAAATACTTTATTCCTGTCAAGTTCTTTCAACACAGTCAAAGAAGCAGCACTTTTTGAAATTTTGTTTTCCAGTTTTTGATGGGAAATATCAATGTCACCAGGATATCACCTTGAGTGAGCGAATCTATTTTGGAGTTATACTTTTACTGATTGTAATGAGTTGATGATTAACATCAATTAAAATCATACAATATTAGATTTAATATACTCTGACACTCAGGCTAGAACAATGCTATATTCAACAAATACTACAATCTTATACTGTAACAATAACAAATAATACTATCTGCAATGTCTTGTTTTGATCATAATAATTTGTTCTTTCACACGATGCAAGCAAGTACTTAGAGAACATAGAACACCCAGAGAGAATTCCTAGCTCAGAGTTGACACATAACACAATTTGTCTGGCGCTGAAGTGACTTTAATCTACGTCATCACTTATGAAACTGTGATCAAAATAGATGGCGCTGATTCCTAGAATCCTTCACTTACAATGAAGTTTTATGAACAGAAAATAAGCAATTAAGTTATGATATTTCAGATGTAATAAATTTTACCAGAACAAGGTCTCAGAATTATTACTTAAGCCTCTCTGGTTTCTAACAGAAATTTATTGAAAGTATTACTTTTCACTTATTTCTGAGATATCATATTACCAAAAGAACATTCTTGTATTCATCTATCATCTATCGCTTTATTTACTCTATGAGTTATCACATATTTAATGTAATATCTGATCTCAATGTGATCCCACATGTTCCAATCATAACCTAGCACCTACACAATTTAGTTGACTGTTCATTCCTCCAAGCTTTCTGAAAGATGAAATGACATATTATGCATGACAAATTAGCAAGTTCTGCATAAAAAATTAATTTCTGGGATTTCTCAGTGTTTGAGGTAAAATTGAGACAGAATTTGAGTATGCTGAATTTGAGGTAAACTTGTGATAGGTACAAACAGTACATTGTACAAATTCTGATAGGTACAAAAAGTGCATTGTATATGTGATAGGTACAAACAGTACATTGTATATATTGTGATAGGTATAAAAAGTAAATTGTACATATTGTGACAGGCACAAACAGTACATTGTACATATTGTGATAGGTACAAAAAGTATGCCATCTAGCACGAAGAAAAAAATCAAATATATTTTGATATTTTAGCTATTTATGAGTGATTTTTACCAGAAATTTGACTGAGAAAAAATAAAATTGCATTAAGGCTGATTATTCATACTTTCAGATAATTGCTGTCTCATGTACTTTACCCGGAACAATCTCAACATGTAGAAGTTGGGGAGAAATATTGCACATGAATAATTCTATGGGAGTGATATAATGGATGTTACTTCTAATGAATGCAGACTGCTTTTATTTGAATAAACCCATATGAGCCGAATTCTCTCAATTTCTGAACTACAAAACTGTGTTAATAGCTTCATTTAATTAACATATAGATACAGTTGTCAGCTATTATTGATCAGTTTTCCTAGAAATGATAAAATAAATATTATCAACAATGATTTAATGATGAGAATTCTGAGAAACAATTACCAGTTTTATGTAAGTTCATCTCTCTGGTTAATATATCAGAAACAAGTCAAATTCTTTACTTCAGAGAATATTTTTAATTTATTGATTAATTTATATATTTTTTAGGTTACTAGGTCATTTGTTACATAATTAAATTTTCCATTGTCTGTTTATGACGTCACATAAATGTATACATGCTGTTATATTTTGAAAAAGACTAAGGGATATTAGTCGAAAGTCTCAATAAATTAAAAATATTCTCTGAAGTAAAGAATTTGACTTGTTTCTGAAATTACCAGTTTGTTTCTGTTTCTGATTGTGAGATGTTTTACATATATGGCATATATATTCCACTAAACAATTAAATCTTTATTAAATACCATGCAATAAAATGTAGAGCATTAACTATTTATCTTGTTCATAAACTTCTAGGACCTTTGTTATATTTTATAACCAGAACAACGGCAACGCCAAAGCGTAGCGAATCCCATCGAACAGAAATGGCTGGCATTTTACAAACAAAATATATAGCAAATATCATAAAACAACACACCAGAAAGGCCACCATTTTCAAAATGGTTAGCCAAGTTGTCATCAGAAGAAATAATATGCTTTTAGTAGCCACCTATAAAATTTTTGAAAAATCGCACACATGTACCTTTGATATGAATAAAAAGTAAAAATGACAGCCATTTTTTAAAATGGCCGCCTACTATCCAAGTGTCATGAGACAGTGTGCAAGGCTCGTGAGTATTCACATATCAAATATGAACAAAATCGCTTCACTACTTTTCAAGTTATAGTAAAAACGTAAAAATGGTGGTCATTTTTCAAAATGGCCGCCTACTACCCAAAGTGTCATTAGACAATGTGCCATGCTTATAGTATTCACATATAAAATATGAAACATACCAAATATGAACAAAATCGCTGAACTACTTTTCGAGTTATAGTAAAATACGTTAAAATGGCAGCCATTTTTAAAATGGCCACCTTCTACCAAAAGTGTCATTAGACAATGTGACATGCTTATAGTATTCACATACCAAATATGAACAAAATTGCTTCACTACTTTTCGAGTTATTGTAAAATACGTTAAAATGGCGGCCATTTTTCAAAATGGCTGCCTTCTACCAAAAGTGTCATAGGACAGTGTGCCATGCTTATAGTATTCACATACCAAATATGAACAAAATTGCTTCCCTACTTTTCGAGTTATAGTAAAATACGTTAAAATGGCGGCCATTTTAAAAAAATGGCCGCCTTCTACCAAAAGTGTCATAGGACAGTGTGCCATGCTTATAGTATTCACATACCAAATATGAACAAAATCGCTCCACTACTTTTCGAGTTATAGTAAAATATGTTAAAATGGCGGCCATTTTTCAAATTTTTTTTCAAAATGGCCGCCTTCTACCAAAAGTGTCATAGGACAGTGTGCCATGCTTATAGTATTCACATACCAAATATGAACAAAATCGCTCCACTACTTTTCGAGTTACAGCAAAAATCGTAAAATAACGAGTAAAGGCCGCCATTTTTCAAGATGGCTGCCATGTGCTTTTTTTAATATCTACATTTGTAGCTTTATTAATGTCCTTTATAATTTTTTTACACTTAAAACATATTGCTATTACAGTTTTACATATTGTACCTAAATTACTGTAAAATCGGCACTAAAATGGCCGCCATTTTGAAATGAGCGGCCATTTTGAAAATCGGCTTACGAGCAGAACTTCTACCCCCATAGGGTATATGTGTACAAAATATGAACAAAATCGGGCCAACGGTATTTGAGTTATTGCCCGGACGGACGGACAGACGGACGGACGGACGGACGGACGGACGTACGTACGGACGGACGTACGTACGGACGGACGGACGGACGTACGGACGGACGGACGGACGGAGGCGTTCCCTATATCCCTCCGAACTTCGTTCGATGGGATAATTATTTGGTAATTGATCAATATTGCTAAGATCAGAGTACATTATAAAAACAAGCAGACTATTTAATTGCTTATTATATCAGACTTACCTATTGTTGGATCATATTCTTCTACGAAGCTGAAAGAAAAAATAGATTATTTTAGCAACAATGGTCTTATTCGTAAACCCCAGGCAATAGCCTAAATGCCAGCAGGTGGTTACCAATTTTCGTGTTACCCTTATTGTTGTTGTTGTATTTTGTTAACCACATATGAAGGTGAGCAATACCTCTTCTTATGTTTCTGGTAGTTATACAAATTAAAACATATTTAATAAAAGATAAAAAATATTATCTGCCTAATACAAGAAAAGATATATATGTATTTCACTTTTTTGTGATTTTATAACATGGGGTCCATGGTGGATCCACCTACCTAGTCACATTTTCAAAGAAAATAAAATTTCACAAGTTGACAAACAATTTTTGAAACCGTATATATCTAGATGTAATTTTTCATCTTTCTTTCATTTGTTTATTTCAAATATGACATCACATTGACTGAATTTTGAATATTTAATGACATAAATCAAGATTATTTCTAGTCTATTGAATAAAAATATTGTATCATATCAGCCAGTTGACTGAAAATGAGGAGATAAACACTGCCTTCACATGTGCTAAAATATATCATTGCTAATGAACTAAATGTTATTCTTATCTTTGGCATGAAAATAGGTCTGTTAATACACATAGGTTATTGTTTGTTTTATGTCTCTCCTAACCTTATTTTTATAATACATCCATAGTGTGTGATAATGATGACTTCAAACATTCCTGGCTGCTTTGTATTTCAAATTGCATGAAGAGTGTTAGGCGATACCATGTTTATAAGAATCAGAAGGACGTCACGCTTCTGACACCAAAGAATTTTTGCATGAAAATCAAAGGATTATTCTGAAAAAAAGTCTGAGCTTTTGGACTTTATGCAAAAAACAGGCACGAAATAGAATGAAGGTAAAAAATATTGTAAGATTGAGACAATTTTTGGAAAGTTACTTTCAGCCTGTCTCTATTCGTTTTATTTCCTTAAGGTTTGATAAATGATAACATAATGATGTATTGTTTCTGCTAGGGTGATTGGAGCAGGTATAACTCTGGAAAATGATGTTTTATCTGAGCCTTTAGCAGTGTCATTAAGCGATAATTACAGATACGCTCTACTTCAGCTGATTAATCTTCCTTAGAAAAACTACTCAATGAGTATTTCATTATGATTTCTTCCATTTTCATTCATCTCAGACTCCATTGTTGAGCTAAATATAGAATATAGTAGACAAATTGAAACCTTTGTAGCCATTTGGGAGATCAGGTTCAATCCTTTATGCAATTCCATATGAGGAACAGTCATTCAGATTATAGCCCATTTAAAGGAAGTAAAATCAAAGGTAGACAGTAATGTTTCAAAATAGTACATGTTTGTTTTAGTTCATTTTTGTCACATATCATTCCTTGAGATTTCAATATAAATATACATCCTGTCTATTTTAGTTGATGTAGATAGATTAACATCCAATAACTTTATTAAGCTGCCTTTCAAAGGTAGCTGAGAGAGTTATTTTTAAAAGGATGTTTGACCATTTGCTAACAAACAATCTTCTATTTAATTTTCAAAGTGGATTTCTCCCAGGTCACAGTACACAACACCAACTACTAAGTACTCTTGATTTTTTAACTTCTAATATGGATAATGGTAATGATGTTCGTGCAGTCTTTCTTGATATATCGGCCGCCTTCGATACTTTACCCCATAAGCTGTTACTTAAGAAGCTACATGCATACGGTTTTGGTCCAAATATAATGCTACTTATTGAATCTTATCTTACCAATCGAAAAGTAAGAGTGCTTATTGACGGACATGAATCTCCATGGTCAGCCAGCGACTATATCAATTCGGGGGTTCCCCAGGGGTCCATCTTAGGACCTTTGCTATTTTTAGTTTACATAAACGATTTACCTGATGATATTTTAAGCAAGTGTTTTCTGTATGCAGATGACACTTCTCTTTATCAGCCCTTCCCTTTTATCTTACCACATTTTGATTTCTGCGACATCCTCTATGGATGTGCAGATATTTCCAAATTAAAACGCATTGACCAACTCTACTACAAGGCAGCTCTGATTTGTAGTGGAACTATTCATGGGTCATCTTCTGAAAAGGTGCTCAATATTCTAAATTGGCCTAAATTAGAGACGAGGAGGAAGTTTCATCGACTAACCCTCATGTTCAATGTCCAAAATCAGAAAGTTCCTTCATATGTTCAAAACATATTTGATAAATATAAGAGACAACAACCTCCTCTCTATTTGAGAAATCCAACTGAATTTGTCTTGCCCGCTAAAAGATCTGTGATATTAAAGAAAACATGCATTTTTACAGCTATCTCAGAATGGAACAAACTACCCCAACAGCTCCAAGAGATAGACAACTTAAGTACTTTCAAATCTAAATTGACACTTCTCATTTATCCAGAACCTATCATATCATCAACCTCATTGCATTTACCTAGACCAGAGGAAATCAGTCTTAATAGGACTAGAGTCGACTTGATTTTTCAATCTCATTTTCATGCCCACAACTTTACTCTAGCTGATACACCAAAATGTAAGTGTGGATTCAAAAGTGAAACATCTAAGCATGTCATCTTAAACTGCAGACTCCGTATGACCCTCCTAACTGACTTTGAAATTAAACTAAATAACCTTGAAATCCAATATAAAAAGAATTTTAAGACCCAAGAGAAATTGAATTTCTTTCTTTTTGGCAGCTCAAAATTTAACTACGCTACAAACATAACTGTTCTTGAAACTAGTGCCTCTTTTCTCCAGAAGTGTGTAAATGTCTGAGTGTATTCACCAATTTGCTTCACCAAATGGATTGTTTTTTTTTTAAAATAAATTTTGTTAATTAACCCTGCGACTTATAATGTTAAACCAAGTCGCCTTTTTGGAAATTTTCTTTTAACATATATTATTGTATTAAATAAAACATGATAAATAAAAAATAAAAATAAAATGTAGATAGACTATACCTGAGAAACCAAAAGTGAATTGATTTCAGGACATCTTTGACTCATATTCTTCAAAACAAACATAATCATTCAATGTTATATTTTGTTTCCACACCTGCCTGCCTGACAGAATTATGATATTACAGGATCATACAACAATTACTGTTCAGCATATCACATGTTGATCAATCAAGGTATTACATATGACTAGGGGTCCCACGATACAGTATCTTCAATTTCGATACGAGCAACGATATTTACCTCACGATACGATACAAACGATACGAGCAATGTTTCTTGAAGAGGATGACCGAAATAATCCCAAACTTTGGACTTTCTACTACGTTCTCGAGAAATTTGAATTTCTTTCTTTTTCTCCATTTTTTACAGGAAACTGAAATACATTCTACGCCGGATAACGCTAGGATAACAAAATGGAAACGGGACAATGGGTACTTGGGTAGATACAATCGTATTTAAGCTGCTTCGGAGCATGATTTTGCTGTTTTGGGGAGTTAAAAACGATACAATTTTTTAACCGATATTCAAGGTGAGTATCGATACGCTCATATCGTGGCGTATTGCTCGAGCGCTCGAGCAAATCCGAGCAATTGCGGGACCCCTACATATGACTATCATGACTGAAGGAATATACTGATGGCATATCAGGTCATTTGAATTGTTTTATGGTCTTATAACGGTAGAGGTAAAATTCAAATATTTCATCTACAAAACCCTGAACAGTACATATATATTTGCTAGTCTGCACTCAAAACTCTCAATGACAAGAATTATTACCACCTTGCCGGGCCAGTTCTATGGGTTTAAGTGCTAGTTTAGAAGGCATTCATTTTACTAATTGACCTGAGCAATATGTGACGTCATAGTGGACCGGCAATAGTGGACCGGCAATTTTCCGTGGGAAATTAGATATCGTTCAGTACGTAAGATTTTCTTTCTGTTTCAGTCCTGGTCATTAACGGTGGCAATAATACTTATAACATAATTTCGAAATAAAGTTATTGTACTATTAATACATTTTACATAAATTTTAAATAAAAAAATAAAGTGACTTACTGGTTCTGTATCAACTGAATTGTCAAAGCACTTTTACCAACGCCTCCAGCTGCAAGCAAAAGACAAGGAATGATGAAATGTTTACAAACAATGATTTGGAGATGTCAAATATCATCCAGTTCACCAGACATCTCTTTCAAAAAGCAACTTTTATTATACAAATGTATGATGTACAATCTCTTAAATGTATTATGTACAATTCATTAAATGTATTATGTACAATTCTTTACTATACACATGTACTTGCAATACACCTGTACTTTCTGCAGAGCACATACAAAAGTCTTGGATCTAAAGATTTGCAGAATCTTGAATTTTGATGGATTCATTTTTGCAACTTACAAAAAGCTGGGATGAGAGAGAGCAAAATGGAGTTTAACATTGATTTAACATGTTTGATTATTACATTATACTACCAATAAGGCAGTTGAAAAACACAATACAGGGAATAGCAATAAAGTAAATTGGCATAAGTGATCCAGATTAAATGTTTCCTCTTTCGCAGAACAACCCTTCGTTATAGCATAACTATGGTATCAAAACACTCTTTAAATGAAAATCTTTTGAAAATTTCTCGATTATAGTCTTTATCTGATTGGAGTGTAAAGTCAGAAAATTATGAGATTAAATATTCTTACATCACTTCATATTCAAACTCATCATTAAAAGCAATGAAACTAAATTTGAGATCAAAACTATAAAATCAGAATATGGGATACCACTGACTATCTCTTAGAATACACCTCTCAAGCAATAGATAAAGAGGGACTAGAGGGACTGATAGGAGAGAGCTCTAAGATTCGATAAAATTCACTGGCCAAAAACAAAAGAAAATAGTTGAGACTTTCTAGAGCCTCACCTCTTCCACAAATCAACCTTTGAATTGTTAAATCTATTTTATATGGGTCAACCATATAATCCAATTAAGCAATATAATATAATATAGTGATGAGAAAAACTCATTCGACTGCCAAGTTTTCCTTATTTTTTGTCATAACAGTCAATGTTAATATCCCAATGGTTAAAACGAATACTTTAAACTGATGTTTTTACCTTATGAAAATTATCTGTTCAATATCAATCAAGTAAGTAAATGTACATATAACATGGGAAATGTAAAAATTGTATAAGCTTGTGGTTAAGACTATAAACCTGGACAAGGTCTAAGCTCTAGATCTAGAGGATGTGGTTAACAGTTATAATAGGTTTAACTTCATCCATTATTAGAAATGTTTATTGACCATTAACTATCCATTAGACAAATGACAAAAGAATCATATTCCTGTTTTTTTAATCTGACTTAACTAGTATTTTCCATTGCATTGCTGCTTCCAAGTATATGCAATTGATAATATTGTGTTCAGAATCTTGGCTTCTTTGGGACCAAAAGCGACAACTTTTAAGAAAATCAGCTCAAATATCAAATCCTTCAGTCCATACTAATGTTACAAATGCTACTGGGATTATTCTTGAAGCACAACATGAAAAGAAAGCAGATTATAATAGAACAGTATAAAGTATAAGTCTTTTATTCACAATGTTTTTGTGTATTAGATCATTCGCTGCGTGGTGCTTCTTTCAGAATTGTTTTTTTTCTTTATTGACCATTACCACTGATCACTAATCAGGCAACTGATCTAATTGTCTTAGTTACCTTACTTTTGCACTTACGGGATATTTCAAAAACTAATAATTTCACCACAATAATTTTTCTTACAAAACTCATTTTGCAAAGTTAAAAGCTACTTCAAATAAATGATGCAAAGATTAGATATATGCAGAATACATTTGCAAATAGCCCTGAGTAAGTACACTCCTGCTTTTACCTGATACTGAGGTCAAGTTAAATCACCTGGATTTGATATGTGTATAATAGCCAAGCTAATTGCATGCTATCTCCAGCAAGACTGTAAATTAGCAGCTAAATGCGGAGAAGTCCAGGAATGAGTAAATTACATTAGAACACTGTAGCAGTCTATGAATTCAAGTGAGTCATAATGATAACTATTTAACAGGAAGATGTGCAGTGTTGCTGTATTATTATCCAGAATCAAGCTAACTGTTTCATTGCAGGGTACATATTACCTTGAATTTAAGTCAAAATCAATGTAAACATGTTCAGAACTGGGAATCTCTCTTTTTCAATGTATTTGTACAATTGAACTATCAACTTCATCATGGAGAAATGAAACAATTGCCTTCACGTCTTTGCAAAATAATCAATTCTAAGACAAATATATACTATTTATTATTTAAGTATATTCTAAAAAAAATATACTGTATACAGGGTGTCCTGAAAGTATGGGACCTCCTATAAGCAGACATACCAATATCTACATATTATGTGTCATATATCAATTTAAATCCAAAGTTACATTGATTTGCCAAGTATCATGGTTCAACTCCCGAATGGGAAAGGGTTACAGGCACTTCAAAACTTACAAGTAGTGTTTGGCCAAAATTAAAGATCAGTTGTACACCAAATTTATAGTGTAGGGTGTAGCATATTGCAATCCTAGTAAAACCATTTTCACGTATTTTAAAAGAGTTTCTTTAGAGTATCTGCCCTCATCGTCTTATTTTCCAACTCAATATCTATCCTATCTTTGACTATAGCACCCACATTTTTGGTCACATTCAGGCCAGAACTGGTTTCAGGATACTGCTTTGAACTTCATTTTTAGCCAAACACATGCATCCTTTTCCCATTTGGGAGTTGAACCATGATACTTGGCAAATCAACATGGCTTTAGATGAGCTTTAAAATAATATATGACACATACTATGGAGACATTGGTATATGTCTACCTAGAGAGGTCCCAAACTTTCGGAACACCCTGTAGATACATAAAATCAGAATTCAGTACATGATATTTTTCTTTTTTGAATGTATACCTGCAAAATGTTGCATACTCATATTTTCCAAGATAAGCAAGAAAACAGTTATCAAAATATTGATCAAAACAGAATGATAAAATCAAGAGTGCACAAAATATTACAAAAGAAAGACAATCACTACTTAGACAACTTCTCAATAGACTAGATGCAAGTAGAAATAATCTTGATTTCCATCATTAAATATTCAAAATTCAAAAAAGTGATGTCACATTTGAAATCTTCATGTAAAAGTACATCTAGAAATATGGTTTTGAAAATTGTTCATCAACTCTGAAAATTTAATTTTTTTGAAAATGTGATTTCTAGTTTTGGGAGATTCCCCATAAACCCCATGTTATAAAATCACAAAGAGTGAAATATCGGAACTTTCAACTATACCCGCCATGCTATCTGACCCGAATGAGCCACCTGGTGGTGAAACTGGTTACTACCTACTCGCATCTGAGTTATTAAGATTAGACATTGCCTATTGCACCTCTCTCCCTGACACATTATCAGTACAGTAAATCCAGCATATGTAAACACCTCTCTAATATGTACACCTTGATAAGTGATCTATTAAATACTACATATTATTAGAATCAGGTAGGAGGACTTCATTAACTCAACAACTTAATACTGAAGCTGATCAAACAGTCAGCCTAGTGTAAATACAACTTCAAAGGCTTTTTGAACTTTAATTAAAAACATAATGTGTTATTGCCATTATGCGACCACGTATATTTCTGATCATCTGATTTTATTGACAGACATTATGATAATTATTATCAGTTTGTAATAAATCATTATTGTTGCGTGTTTTGAATTGCAAGATAAAAAAACAACAACATAACAAGGCATGATGAATTCAAATTCATATCCATATTAGATATCATGGTTATTGACTAGAGGATGAATATCACAAACATTGTGTAAACTGCAGCAGAACATTTTACCAGTTTAGAATAATGATGGTACCAAAATAAGATACATTTGCATTTGATCTACTGATCTATAAGACAAGATGTGATGTCACCAATATGATCACTTATAAATATAACAACAAACATGTAACAATTTGTTACTGATGCAATCCACCTAATACTGACGTCAAATAAAAGTCACAAAAATGAAGGCTTTAACAATATGCAACAACTCTTTGGTGTAGACTTCAATATCAAGTTCTTATTGTCTCGTTGGGATATTAAAAAAAGAGAAAATAGTTCGGTCTATACCTAGATGTTCAATTTAGATTGAAACTGGGGCGTTATGGTACATGTTACTAGAATAAGACTTCTTCTTTTCATTGAAAAGTGTTATTTCCTTCCTGTTTAAGATAACAGTACAAAGTACACCATATGATCAGCTAAATTCACTATCATTTGTTATATACATGAACAGTGCCCTTGAAAGTACATTGTACTTGTAGTAAGATTAACACATTTTGAGAAACCATTTTTCAACTTCCTCATAAATTTTAAGAAAACTGGAAGTTTTAAGTTATTGTATTTAAATCAATTACATAAGTTATCAATCGTTGCTACTCTCATTTCCAAATGTCTTTCTCATCTGGATAAGTTAGGGAAATATATGAGGGTTATTTCATGGGAGGTTCTGGATACAGGGTATGAGGGTATATCCTGAGCAAAACACTGTGTGACACAAAAAAATGACACCACCCACTAAAGGTGTCACGGTTTCCCAATATTTGACCGAATTTCGGTCCAGATGCTTAGTTCGGGACATGGGACAGAAAGGGTTATTATCGGTTCTGTATCGGTAAATAAAATCCTTCCCTAAAATGCCAAAAAATGTGTATAAATAGCGAGGAACACCTCCGATTTCGTTCTGAAAATTTAAAAATGTTCACTTACCTCGTACCTAGATTACACTTCTTTGCATTGAAAAGTGTTATTAACGGACCCGCGATTTCAGGTAGATGGTAATGCTTGTTCGTAAATTTCTTCATTGTCGTTCGCAAATCGAGTGCATTATCAGTATGCCAGATGTAGAAAAGAAATTGAAAAATCGAGCCAGCATTTAAGTCGAAAAAGCAGGCAGTTCGGAAGTTTTTTGGGACTCTGATATCACAAGGTAAACGAATTGGTGATAGAACACCGTGCAGATTATGTGAACTGCCGATCACATTCGCGGCAGATGCGTTATATTCGATTTTAATTGACTTTATTATTTCTGAATATGATTTTGAAAAGTGAAACTGCCATCATCAGACATTGCATCATTTTTTAATGTTCTGTCCCGTCCCGAAAGTACTGTGTCCCGAGACCATTTGTACCGTTCCGTACCATACCAAAATGTTTTTGGACCATGACACCTCTATCACACACACAATGTTTCATAACTTTTTTGTCTGAAGAAATTCTGACATTTTTCTGCACATGAAAACTACACTTCATTTTACAACTCCAAAAGAAGTTTCAGATGACTAGCTCACCTAGATGCACATTTATGAGCTTTACAAAATGTGTCGTCTATTCTTTTGTTGGCACAACTGGATCTTACACAAAAAATGAAACCCACCTATGTAACATAATTTTGGAAATAAGTTATGATGGTTTTATAATCAACAACTACATAATTTTGCGTTTAATTTAATGGACTTCATTTCCTTATTTAGTAGTTATGTTACAAAAGCTAGGTGGCATTTTTTGTGTAGAATCCATGTGTGTCTGCAAAGGAATAAACGAGCAATTTAGAGCAGATGTTATAAAGCTCATAAAATTTGACCCACTCACACCTGAATAGCCTGACAACGGTATAACAACAACAGATACCGTTGACACAAATGGCAGACAACCGTCACTTCAACTCTTTTATCACTTGGTCCTCATTTCATGGGACTTTACCGTCGCTAATTCTGTGCATGTATTAAGCTCTTGTGATGATGTTTCATATGAAATCCAAATTTCGATCAAATCGGGTCGTAAATCGCCACAATATAGCGTCTTCTATATCGTCAATGACAATGGAATCTGAATTTGAAATAATCTACAAAGACAACGGCATATGGAAATACAGTGTCTGTTGTCCTGTATCTCATTTTGATCGGTTAAATTAAAGACTTTTTCAATGGTAGATCATTATTAACTGTATAATGAGTATTAAGACACTTTGATTGATTGTTGTTCCAAAGGAATTTAGTCTAGGTGCTCTATTAAACATACAGTTCATGAAAATTTAATTGAAGCGACAGTTATGTCAGCCATTTGTGACAACAGTATCTGACTTTACCGTTGTCAGGCCATTCCGGTGTGCCACTAGAGCTACACATCTGAAATTTCTCGAGGTGTTTTTGTATTATATATACTTTTAATAGACAAACAAGATATGCAACGTAAGATGGGTGTCTTTGACTTCCTGCTTCATAAAATTAACACTGTCAAATGACTCGAAAAGTTACTTCCGGTTTATCGAAATAAAGATGAGCTGAAAATGACCGTAAACGTTGTCCGTGAGTTAATAGAAATATATGTACCTCACTGTTACTACACTCTTCAAACTAGTTACCGAAAGAGATTTGACAGAACCTTGAAGGTATGATTTTTCTCTTTCCCTATTTCATGAGTTGTTAGCAGAATCTCTACAACATTTTTATCACTAATGTGTGTCAGTATCAAATGTTTAAGAAAATCTGCTTCAAATAATTCAGAATCATCGATATAATGCAATAATTGTGTCTTGTTCTTGACATGCATGGCAAGTTGTTTCAGCTCATTTTGCTGCAGCTATTCTATTTCTGCATTATGGCGAGGTGCGACAAACAAAACCCGAGACTTTTATCCACGTTGTTATGATGAAGTTATCCCAAACAGTTTGCAAGTTTATATGATTGTACATGTATATGAATAATTAGCTAATAATTAGACTGTATTTATATATTCAGTTCATATAGCACTCGCATGAGAGAACAGATGCCCTTTGACATAAGTCAGTCAAGGATTAGACAAAGATAGGAATGTAATGTAATATGTCAACTAAATGTCAATGTCAACTAAATGAGGATCAAGGACTGGGACATGTCAACACTCGGCAAAAGATTATTCAACTGTCTCAACATTTGGTTGTGTTTTCTACACGTTGCTAAGGTTTTCAAATTGCTATTAGTACCTAAGAACTTCACAAGATTAATCAAAACAAATAAGGTAAAAAGCAATAACATGATGACTGATATGTCAGACAAGCTTTAACATTATTATGTCATAAGTGTAAAGTGATTCGTAGTCAGGGTAGTTGTTTCACTACTTAGTGACTTTTTCAGGTAGCTATTTGAGAGAAGCAGGTAGTGATGATTTGATTAGAGTGATCTTTATTCTTATGACTTACTGGCGCAATAATAAGATATTACACAATATACTAACCCGATCTAAAAGATGTCGTAATTACAGTAAAATAATCTGCCGCCATTTTTTCCACTTCAGATTTTGAATCGCCAGATTTGGTCTTATTCATTGACAAAAAATTTCAAAACCCACAAGAAGTGATAGGTGGAAGCCAGTTTTTTCTGATCAAGATGACGAACATGGAGTACTGTTTGGAACCTTAAATAAATGACAGGTGGATTTTCTATCACCATTTCCTAACCATGGTCATCTGAAAGACCATAGTTTCCAATTTTGTCTAGATACATACATGTATCCCCTAAAATTTGTATATTTTACATTTTTTATCATCCCACCCACCGATGTATGGCCTCTTGGAAATTCTTTTATTTTTAACATGGAAAATCTTCACTTCAGCAAATCCACCTGTCATTTATTTATGTTCCAAACTGTATCTGTATCTATAATGGAGAACTTCCCATTATCCATTCTTGAAAGACATGCTTACATATTCATCACAATCCGCCAGATCATGGGCTTTCTACAGTGGGGATCATAAAGAATTGCAAAAGATATGAAAATTACATGCTGTCGCACATGTAATAAATTCTTACCTCAGTGTATTCAGTGCTCTATTTTCTCCGTCTTAGTAAGTCCAAATATAGTGGAATTTGTGTCCCTAATGACAAATAAGAACTTCAAAAGTTGAATTGGATATTCACATGTTATGACGACTCTTCAAATGTTGAGGTGATTTTGTCGCCCGATTGGGCCGGAACGGAGGATTGGCTCCCAGAATGCAACATGACACGTGCCAGCTTTCAAAATGCTGTTCCGCCATTTTGAAACCTGTCATGAGTAAATACGGTTAACTGATGTTGCATTCTGGGAGTCAACCGTCCTTGGATAACAAACATGGCGATTCATGAAAACATTCATTCAATTTGGTAGGGATTTATCCATTATTTGCAGGTATGAAGCTTTGGATTCATTTATTGTGCTACTTTAGTGAACGGGAATTATTTTTCTACCGCTTGGGAGAGTTTGAGACACGAAACTTGGAAATAAGCTCATTGTGACAACTTGTGAACGTTGATTTTATTTTTGTCCCCCACTGTAGAGAAGCATGGCCTAGTCTATCTGGTAATTTTCACTTCTTACCGCATTTGTAAATTGATCAGTCTGATCTGACAGACCAGCATTTATGAGTAGAGAGACTCTCATTTCTTCTGTCTGCACAAAGGTATTCAAAATAATAACATTATGTCAAGATCTAGGCATCAAATCCAATTTGAATTTTTTGTATTTTTTGCACTGATTCACCTTCACAATTTTGTGTTACAAATATGTGGGAAAATGAATAGGCGTTCTGCTATGATTTAAGCTGCTTATATTCAGATCTTAGACTTGATAAACAGCTCGATCTTGACTAAAATGGGGAAGTTATATGGGACAAAATGACACAAATAAAACAATGCAAAAAATGTCAAAAATTTTACCTCCAACAACCACCAACTTGTATTCCGTCATTTTGGCTGTTTCCAGAAGACGTAAGATTAAATGAAGTCCCTTTTGTGATGCTACATATAAACTAGATAGCCTATGCCCCTTTTATAATAGAGATCCGAGGTGCAAAATCCAGATATGCAGCTATTTTCTTGCAGAATTTGGGTGGCCCTGTTTCACAGATCTACGCCCATGATGATACACACCAAGAAATGTGACTCGAATGTATTTTTTGCGTTCGATTACCGTAGATAAACTACTCTATCCGTATTATATTGCACATCAACTAATTATATAACGCTGTAATAAAATCGAAGAAATTCATTAATGTTTGGTTTTTCACTGTTCTATTTTAATTGATGTGTTTTATGTTTAAATATTTCACTTGGTAAATTAGATTACAAAAGTTACTTTCAAGGCACAAGTCAATTAGTGCATCAACCAATCAAATTGAACAAGTAAATGTCAAACTCTTCGGAAAAGAAATTCATGATTGTGTGATTGGACAGAACAATTCATGACATCAACAAACGCAGATAAGATAAGAAGTTGCTTGTGATTACATTTTCTCATATTTTTACTTCAAATACTATAGTACTGTGAGATTATGTATCTGCTTCAAATGGACCTTTCGCAGATTATTGTCTCATTGATATCATGGGATTTCAAGAAAAGAAAAGAGAGCCAATGCTAATATACATAATTATGTAAGGTTTTGGATACAGGGTTTATCCCAAGGAAAATACTGACCTTACATAACAGGTGTATTCCATACCTACGAAAGTTCTAGGTATATTCTCAAATATCAATATTGTCTTATAAAGTTCCAAAATTCAAAAATATGCATTTTCTTAGTCTTAGCAGATCAATGAATTGATAAAATAAACAACATTCTTTAGTTTGAAATATCATCGTTATTTTTTGTATGGATTTAGGAAAAAACGAATGTAAATTGAGACTGCTATTTAGGAGCGGGACCGGGATGGATACATCCCACCCCACTCCTCAGTGCTAGAGCCCTAGATACAGTATTTATTCCCACTCGTTACTTACCTTGAACCTTAGTAGGTATGGAATACATGGGTGTAGCCAGGGGTATATGATGTGATTGGTGCTATTTTGACCCCACCCCTGCCACCCTAAGAAAAAAAGGAAAGTTCTAAATCTATTGAAAAAACATTAAAGTTGCAGTATACCATACTGTAAGTTTCTCTCTCTCTTATGGGTATATGATAACAGATATTCTGAAATAATCAACAGAACAACCAACCTTCAAACTATTAAACACAATTGATTCTGCGGCTATCAATGGGAATCCCCATCGAGTCACACAAGCACCAACACATGCCAATCAGGTCCATGATAAACAAATTCAACAACCAATCAGATAACATTGTATATTCCAACTTCATACTGAATTAATTTCCGCAAAAATAATTAGATCAGTCAGCACAATTGCGAAATTAACACTTAAAGCGGGGGATTTGGGACTTCTTCTTTGGCAACTAGAGAGGGCCCTAGAGGCTCTAGATGCAAAAAGGTCCAGGGGTCTTGAGTGTGCTATCCTATGTAGCTCTATGTAGAGTCTCTTTAACAAATTGTAGTTTGAAATGGTTCAAATGCACCAACAATGTAAATCTTTTAAAGATTTATGGGGGTGTATCCTCCTTTTTGGGCTATACAAATTCCAAAAATTCACACCCCTTTGACATGATTTGCTTGCTTGGCCCCTATAATGAGAAATATGTTATGTATTTAAGTGGAGGCCTTCTGAAGTTGTTAATCAGAAGTTGCTTTGATAATGAGCTTTCTTTATGATCTACATCCTCAAAAAAACCAATGAAAATGAAAAGAAACACTATCGAATATACGTAAATTAATGCTTTCGTTTTCCGTCCCGATACAAAAGTTTGCCATCAGAAGTTTGAAACAAAGTTCAAAAGTTCAAGGATGAACTATAAAGTTGAACCTTGTTACTCATTGCATATGTTTTAGGCTCTAGATTCAATAAGGATTTGGTTCATTTTCCTAGCAGATTTGATTGCCCTTGTACTCTTGCAATAACCACATTTTCAACATGGCAGATGTGAACTACAATTCAGTAAGTTGAAAAAGATTTTTGTCAATGTCTCTATAGTTCTATAAAAATCTTTTCTTGGAGACTTCAAAGTCAGCACTATTCTGGGTGTATATATAATCTACAGGTATACGAGATACTCCAAGATTGTGCTGACTCAAAGTGACAAGTCATCTTTATAACAATGCAGGCCTGTCAACTGTCCCGCAATTTGCGTAATTGTCACGCATTTGTCACGCAAATATGCATTTTACCTGGTAATTGTCAAGCAAAAATATTTCTGTAGAAAATGTTTCAAAATATGTTTACGATACGGCATGGGCTCTACCACCTGATAGAGCCCATGGATACGGTAAAAATACGAACGTCGGAAAAAAAACCGAACGCAATTTGTTCGGATTTGTCACGCGAATCCCGTATATGTCACGCATGGTTATTGGAAATTTTCGTACCTACGAACCTACAGACAAAAGTGTTCAGATTTGGACTTAGGTGTCCAACATTTGTAAGTCACTCATATTAGGTGGTCCCAAGTTGACAGCCCTGACAATGTAGTAAAAGGATAAGTATCGATATGGTGAACCATGGGCGTAGCGCTATTTTTCTGAGTAGTTCGCCACCACCACAGGAACAAGAGTTGATTGAATCAAAAAACGAGCATTCAGCGTTGGTTGTATTTGGAGCGAATTTGCAACCATCTGGTACGCCTGTGTGTACCCAGCGTACCGGGCGCTACGCCCATGTGAACTGATCGAATTCAACAATGTTGAGTGGTTTTTGGCTCACATAGTGAGCCTATGGGATCGACCAGGCGTCCGTTGGTCCGTCCGTTCGTCCGCCCATCCATCCGTCAACATTGGCCTCACAAATTAAAACTGCTATTCAGATTGAGTCCTATCCACATTCATTTTATACATACATATCCATAATGCCTATTTGACCTATCATCGCCATTTCCCAAGTTTGCCGGGTTTCTGAGAAATTGCTGATTTTGACGTCAAAAAGTCCCAATTTCTGTGAATACTAGACACTTTGTTGAAGTAGAACTTTCAAATAACTTGTAGTAGTTGCTGTATATGCAACTTACATGTATGTCCTCTGAAGATTTCAAAGCTCTTGGAATTACAGTTTTTGGTGTTTACTCTATAAAATTTGACAAAAAGTAGGACTCGTTTTCAGGAAACTTTCTCATGTATAAAGTCAATGGCAGGTTTTGTGATTGACAAGTTTCTCAAAGTTTGCCTTATAGTATACTTGATCATTTCTTGCAATGAATTAAATCATTACTAGATTTAAGCATTCCCTACATATTGCTCGATATATGTCAGCATCAAATTTTTACCGTTTTTGAGATATTCACGTCAATAAAACAGTAATCTACTTGACCTTCAAAGGGAAAAAAAGTAGATTTTTCAAATTGATTTTTGGATGTAAATTTTGGTCAGCTTAAGGTGCTATGGAAGTTAACAGGAAATGACAAAACAAAAAATGTCAAAACCATGCTGGATTTTGAAATTTTTTTGAACCAAGATAACTGAGTTCTGTATTTATCCAGAATTTAGGTCAAACTTTGAGAATACTGTAGATGTTTAGCTAATGGTGCTGTCAGTTCCATGTGCTATGCCATCTCACATTCTCTTCTAACTTGTTTTTCCTCGAGTGATTTCAGATTCTTTTTGCAGGTGTATAACTAATATTTCCGCCTTAATAAGGTTGGAAAGTAACTGTCATATTTTTCTCAAAATTAAATACCATGAGTTGGTTCAGGTTTTATGCTCTTATGGAGTACTTTTCAAAATGGCTCTAAAGTGTCTAGTTGTTAGATGCCAAATTGGTTTTAAGGATTCAAAAATAAGTCACTGGTAAATTTATTTTACAAAATTATCTTGGAGTAAGGAGATAAAGGGAAGATATTGCAGGGTGGACATGACTTTCTAAATATATATATGATAACTGTATTGAAATGTGTTTTTACAGGTAGTGTCTGGCTTAAGGAAGGAGTTCAATACAGGGAAGACGAAGACATTCAGATGGAGAATGGATCAGCTCACAGCCCTTCTCAGACTTTTGGATGAAAACACAGATGCTTTGAATAATGCCCTCAAACAAGACTTAAATAAGGTAAAAAACATATCATTTTTTATTTTTGACTCAACTTTGCACTGCCATTTTCCTTGAGGATGAGCACTCCTCATACTCACATTGATTTTCAATCATGAAAACTTCCATTTCTTTATTCATAATTTTACTGGAATAATTGACAACAAATGCCTCTGTGGCTCTACTGAAGACACAAAGCATTTCATTCTAACCTGCCCTCGCCATACCCATGAACGTAATAAAATGATGACTGCACTTCGTGAACAAAATTTATTGTTTGATACTCAACTTATTTCTAGTAAGACAGAACAGGTCAAATACTTAATTTATGAAAATGAACTCACTATTGATTCTCAGAAAATCCTGATAGATATAGTGATGCAATTTGTACAGGCCTGTTATAAGTTTCCATCAAATTAATGTTTTTCTCATTTGTATCTTGTGACAACCCCCCCCCCTCCCTCCCAACCTCTCACATTACCAATAAACCATCTATGATTACTGTAATTAATCCTCTATTGTATTTTAAACTACCTAGAATGCCTATGGCGATTGGTAGTAGATATTTTGTGTATTTTTTGTTTATGAAGGAAATAAATAATATGTTAAAAAAAAAAAAAAAAAATGAAAACTTCATTCGTAATCCATGATCCACTATTTTCCATACCTTTTTGTCTCTATTGTGTTTGTACATAAATCTCATGTTTACCTAAATAAAGCCTTAGGTACCAACATAAATCCTCAGCTATCAGCATAAAATGAATTCCATCATAAAGCCTCCAATAATATACCATCATAAAGCTAAGGGACACATATTATAATCAACAACAAATCATATAATAGTACAAATTAGTAATTCATGTATTTCAACCAGTACTGTATGTTTAACTATAACATGAATTATAATATCATGAGTTAATAATAAAAAGTTCCCTATTTTGTATATTTCAGTGTGTAGCAGAAGCAGTGTTGTTTGAAGTGAATTACAGTCGAAATGAGGTTATCACTGCTATGAGTAACCTTAAGGAATGGATGGAACCTGAGTGGGTAAGAAATACAGCTTTGAGTGTGTTGTATCCATATCAAAATAGATAATGTACTTCGGTCGGTCAAAAAGTTCCGTCATTTTGAGGAATTATTTCTTGATATTTGGTACATGTACATCTATAGAACATACATTTGTGCAAATATTACCTCAAAGGATGTATATTAATGGCTTTAAAAACAGTGCAGTGAAAATTCCTGAATTAGGGGTTATTTTTACTGTTCCCACTATGTCAGTATTTTATCCATTCTGTATTCTTTTTACATGTAGAGTGAAAAATGAGTATCTATTTCAAGTGTGTAAGTAAAAATCAGTAATATATATATACAATATATACACAGTGACATGCTGTAATGAGGCTATGAAAAGTAGTGAAAAACACTTCCATCTTTATATACAACCTTTAATGCTCATAATCAGGGTTTCATTGGCAGCAGGCAACCAGGTTATTTTCTGTGATTGCTATATAGACAAGTCTTATATGTATTTGGAAATCTTGCATTCCTTATGCAGGTCTTGGTGTGAGAGAAGCATCTCACTTAGATTTAACACTTGAAACTCCTGATTTTCAGAGTTTCCAATTCACAATAAAGGAAATTTCAACAAAATAGCCATACAGGCAAAGAAACTGAACTTTCAGGAAATCATTTCAGATAAACATATAAAACCCATTTTACAAAACAATGAAATATTTGTAATATTCTTTGCTTTCATAAAATGTCCTATGAATTCACATACCGCCTTATAGATGTGAACAATGTTACTACTTATTAGTCTTATTTGTTGCAAGTCAATATATAGGCCAAGTATTATATTATTACTGGGAGAACCATAACAAGAAAGACAAACTTTGCATGAAAAGGTGATTTTGTCATTTGTTGATTCCTTTAACAACAACATGCTTCAGAAGTTATTCTCCCTATGAAATCTCATCTTATCTTGCACACATATCTAAATGTTATGTTATGTATCTCAATAGCTACAAAATATTGGTTCAAAGATTAAACATACAATATCATGTACTGTCATTTATGAATCGAATACAACAAAAAATTATAGAAAAAATTGTCACTGAGGAGTGATTGCAAAACAAGAATTCATAATTTATGAACCAAAACATGACTAGACCAACTTGTCTAATCTGTACTATGTGGAGATGGTACCTATATTTTGACTATTTTTTCAAGTATGTACACAGTTGTTGATCCCAAAGATCAAGGTGGCTTTCAAATATAGTCCACTAAAGGACATAAAGTATTTGGGATCAAGTATATATTTGTAATTGGAAGTATTTGGCCTATTATATTGAGAGCTTTGTAATGGAGTTATTAGTTTATCCCTCTTGTGAATTCATGACTTGCAGTTCTCGTTAAAGAGAAGATGTAGGCATATTTTTTAATAGCAAACATATTGCTAATGTATGATGACTGTTGAACTACTTAATGCAACAATTTTTGACTGCCCATTTATAATATGAATATGAATATGAATATGAATATGAAGTTCAATCTAGATGTTGAAAGATAGCAGCTTACTGGAAATGAGTGCTGCATTTCTTGAATTTTAAATTTTGGCCATATCATAATATTTTCTCCTATTTTTATCGTACCTAACAAAAGGTACGATATTGTAGTCAGCTTGACGGGCGGCGGGCAGGCGGCGGGCGGCATCTCACTTTTCAGCTTGTTTACAGGTTTCCAGCCAAACCATTTGAGGGATTCATCTTAAATTTTCAGGGATGTTTCTACATATCAACGTCAAGAACTGATTAGTTTTTGGGCATTCTGGGTAAATTTTAAGGTGGCCATTTTGGATTTTCCGTCCTAAAATCTTTACTTTCAAGACTTGTCTACAGGTTTTCAGCCAAACCATTTGAGGGATTCATCTGAAATTTTCAGGGATGTTTCAACATATCAACGTCAAGAACTGATTAGTTTTTGGGCATTCTGGGTAAATTTTAAGGTGGCCATTTTGGATTTTCCGTCCTAAAATCTTTACTTTCAAGACTTGTCTACAGGTTTCCAGCCAAACCTTTTGAGGGATTCATCTGAAATTTTCAGGGATGTTTCTACATATCAACGTCAAGAACTGATTAGTTTTTGGGCATTCTGGGTAAATTTTAAGGTGGCCATTTTGGATATTTGTCCTAAAATCTTCACTTTCAAGACTTGTCTACAGATTTTCAGCCAAACCATTTGAGGGATTCATCTGAAATTTTCAGGGATGTTTCTACATATCAACGTCAAGAACTGATTAGTTTTTGGGCATTCTGGGTAAATTTTAAGGTGGCCATTTTGGATTTTCCGTCCTAAAATCTTCACTTTCAAGACTTGTCTACAGGTTTCCAGCCAAACCGTTCAAATTTTTACATATGTTACACAGTGATAAGTTCTAGAGCTGATTAACTTTTCTGCGGCCATCTTGCTTTCTTGGACAACAAGACCACAATGCTGTGTTTTAGGTACGATATTGTTCACGTCTGTGCCTTGTTTTAAGTAAGTGTGGGTAAAATATAATAGCAATAGGGTTGGAAGGAATATACCTTTTAGTGGATTTACTTATTGACACCTAACCATTCAATCCCTTCAAGTAGATTTACTAGATATCTTACATTGTGGTCAATGATATGAAATGCTCTTGTATAATCAAGCAATTTGATTTATTTACAATAATGTTAACCTGCTTATATTTGCGCATTCAAACACGACTGTATTCATGCCTTCTATAAACTGTCAATATTTCACCTGGTATTTATTTGTTGATACAACACCTGATAATATGAGTAATATGTGATGTTGGCTGTAGTAGGCCATAATGAATATTTGAAATATTTTGGTGAGTTTTCATTTTGGAATCATAATATGGACCACAGATCAGGTACATATTATATAAAGCAATAAATACCTCCCTTCAGTCGATTGGAGTACAGAAAACATTTGTGCCTATAGCCCTGTGGTATATACAATATACATTGTATTCATTGCTATACCTGCTCTTTGGTCTATATTTCTTATATCAAACATGTACAATTGCCATCATTTAATAAATGTGAAAAGTGTTATTTTTACAAATGATATTGATTCAAGGATATTAGTTAAGTCAACGCTTTAGAGTAGATCCAATAAAAGTATTGTTGATTTTTGAATGATTGACTCAATACATGCATATGCTAGTATGTATGACATATTTGTTTGAGAGGTTCCTAGTCACATTAGGGGAGGCTTCAAAAGTTCAATGTCTGATAGGAAACTAAATAAATCTAGTTTCATCCTTGACCACCAATATAAGGAAATAAAATAACCTTAAAAATATCAAATGAAATTAATTACTTCAAAAATTTACTTGCAAAATATGAAGGACTGCATCTGATGTTTAAATGTTGATTTAACTCCAGGTGAAGAAAAACCTATTTACAATGATGGACACATGTTTCATAAAGCGTGAACCCCTTGGAGTGGCCCTGATCCTAGGGGCATGGAACTACCCCATACAACTCACCCTCTGTCCCCTAGTGGGAGCAATAGCAGCAGGTAAGTGACCCCGATCCTGGGGATGTGGGTCCCTAGGATGCGGATAAATCACACATGACATTTCATCTGTCCTTTGCTTTACTGTTGATATATTGCATGTGTCATAGCTAAGAAGTTGCATGAACACAGTATATTGAATATTAACCCTAGAAACACAAGAACTTGTTGTAACAACAAAATTAAATGGGCTTTCCTCTCTACCCTTAAAGAGGTACAAGACAATGGTACATCTATATATGGACACTATGTTAATACAAAGCTATACAAGATTTAATTAAATGTACATCTTCCAGGTAACTGTGTGCTCCTTAAGCCATCAGAGGTTTCAATGAACACAGCTTTGCTACTGGAGAAGTTACTGCCCAAGTACCTTGATAATGTAAGTGAAAAGAAAACAATATTTAATCATTTTAAATGTAGTGTTTCTCACTCTTTCATTGACTAAGAATCCATCACATGATGATGAATTTACTTTCATCTAAATCTAGCTAGCCCATAACCCCCCTGGCCAAAAAAATCTTTCAAAATCATGCAGTTTTTCACCATTCTGTGCATTTTTAAATGATTTTGGCCATTTTTGGACCAAAATTGTCACAAGCGAACTCCCACCTGGAATTTTTCAAAAAGTGAGCCCCCCTTGGCAAATCCTGGCTACGGGCCTGTCTAGTCTTGTCTTACATGGTATGAAATCCCCAAACTATAAAAAAGTATAAGAGGTCTGAAGCATGAGGATTAATGCAGATTCACGTATCTAATAGTTTTAAGGTGAGCACTTTAGAATGGTTTTGCCATATTACACAGATTGTATTACTTTTCCTCCAATCAAGGATTGCCTTAAAGTTATCAATGGAGGAATACCAGAGACCACTGCCCTACTGAATGAGCGCTATGACTACATATTCTACACAGGGAACACCAACGTGGGCAAGATTGTGTACCAAGCTGCTGCTAAGCACCTTACACCAGTGACACTAGAGTTAGGCGGCAAAAGGTAAATAGAAATCGTATGTATTAGAATTTAGAGACATAACTGAATTAAGAAACTTGCGCATTTAGTAGTACATAGAGGCTGATGTAATAAAAACATGTTGAACGTTAAAACTTTATATATCTGAACATTTACCAGTACATGAACAGTACATAAGCTATTCAGTAGACTTTGCTTTTTAGTTTTATAGAATAATTGAGAAGACATGATCTTTGTTAACATTGTGTATTTTTACTCCACTTGTGTCTTTCATATAACTTAGATTGGTCTTTTATGGAATATGGGCTATTTTATCTTTTTCTGTTATACTTGTGTTTTTTGGATTGTTGGAGAACAATGCTGTTAGCTATTATGTTTTAGCCCTTGTTATATTGACAAGGAAACAGACTTGGATGTGGCATCTAATCGACTTGCTTGGGGAAAATGGGCAAATGCTGGTCAGACTTGTATTGCCCCAGATTATGTCCTAGTCAGGCCAGAGTTGCAGGTAACCCACAAAAGATGGTGCCACCTCACCACCTGCAGTTGATAAGGTTTCATGTAATGTTGCTTGGTGAAAAAGTGCAAAGCATGCTCCCTGGTTTAAATAGTGCAAACCATAATCCTTGGCTGAGGGGCTCTCAACCCATACACCCATCCTAAATAATTGCTCTTAAATCACATTCATCAGGTACAGATACTGTACAGAATACCATTCAAATATAAGGGCCCTTTTATTAAAAGTTGAATACTACTTTAGCTTTACTCTTGTTTTCTGTTTTGTTTGTATTTTGTAATTGGTGTTATAGTTTTCCCCCATATTTAACAGTTTTAGAATAATTCATGTAACCTAGAGTATACACAGACATGTACAGGGTGTCCCAAAATTATACAGAGATAAAAACAGAATTACTCTGAGTAATGTAGGAATATTCTTGCAATTTGAACATCTGATAGACAATTTTATTATCATAATCATAATCATCTAAAAGTTTCACTAGCTAACTCTATCTAGTGTTAGAGAAAAGCTTGTTTTGGTACCACCACCCATATTTCATGAAGGAGGTAATTTTAAGTGCAAGTCATCTAAGATGTCAAATTTCTCAAGAAGTAATGCATTTTCTATGGAGTTCTATCTGCAAATTGATGAATTAATTTTCCTTATCCTTCAATGAAGGAAAAATAGTCTCATTGGGGTATGTTTTTGGGACACCCTGTACATTTATTACCTTTATTTAGTTTGATATTACACCTTATGTTCTTAAATCATCATTCATCCTCCAAGGATACAACCTTTATCATTCTTCAATGATAGAACCCTTTATCTTCCTTAAAGAATACATTTTTTATCATTCTCGAAGGATACATTCTATAATTCCCCAGGGATACAAACTTTATATCCTCTATAGCTAAGGATACAAACTTTATCATTCTGAAATGATAAAACTATCTTCCACCATCATCCTTCATGGATACACATTTTGTAATTCTACCAGGAAACAACTTTTATCTCAAAGAAGAAAATAAAGAGGAATACTATATTTGAAATAGAGTCCAGAATTGATCTTTAAGGAAATCTATATCTATCCATATATAGGTTGTTTTGAAGGTGATTTTCCAGCAATCAATGTAGTTGGATTTCTTGTTGTCAAGAAAGCCATGTTTCAGCTGTCTATGTTTTTTTTAGTTATAGGTAAAATGTTTGATCTTTACTTAATGCGGCTCTTTGACATGATCAGCAGTTTTATCCTATGCCAAGTAGAGTTTTAGGGAGATAAGTTGGTAAGATTATATCCCGTATCCTGATTTTGAAGTTTCCATCTAGAACCTCCCGCCATATCTCCCGCTTCGGTGCATATCTTCCCGCTTCGGTGCATATCTTCCCGCTTCCGGTACTTTTAGTGAAAACTCTACTTGGTATAGGATAAAGCAGTTATGTACGGTCGGTTTGGATATTGGGTTCATCCCTCGTGAGATATGCACATCTACCTTCAGTCCCGACGGTCCCTCAGGTAGACATGCATATCTCCCTCTGGATAAACCCCATATCCAAAACCTCCCAGTACATAACCCTTATGTATTTTAGCCTCATGTTTCAACATTTCAGGTTTTGTACCTTAAAGTGCAATATTTAGTCTGCAGCTGAGTTTGTCAATGTCTGTTATATTTCAGCCCTTGTTATGTAGATTCAAGTGATCTCTTCAGGCTAACAGAGACAGCTAATGGTATAGCATGGGGCAAATGGATGATTGTCTGTCAGACTGCACCTGATTATATCAAGTGTTCTGTAGGCATACAGGTACCATCCATACAAACTTTACAACGATCCTTTATTTCAGTCCTGTCTTCATAGACAACAATGTAAACCTTGATGTAGCAGCAAATCGTCTTGCGTGGGGAAAGTTTGCAAATGTAGGCCAAACGTGCACGGCCCCTGACTATGTTATGTGCCATCCCGATATGCAGGTTTGTATAATATACACAGATAAGAATCCTAATATATGCATGGTGAATACTCATACTTAAAAGTGTGAAAAATATGGTTAGAAAGGGAACATTTAAAGAACTACTGGCCATAAAAACAACCCCAAGGATACACTCCTCTAACATACAAAGAAATAGTTTTAATACATCATCACAAGATTATTTTGATATACACATGTACATGTATTATCACAATCTAAACCCACAAGAAAATGGGACACAATTGATGATTTGCGATCACCGGATGGATCCTATCTTGAAGTGATGTCACAAGTAGACCACACTGCTGTGCTTTTTGATTTTGAGTGATTATTTCCTGTATTTTGTACTTTATTGATTTATTTTTCATGAAAGTATTCGATTTGATTAGATCAACATTCATTCTAAGCCCATGCCAAGTTTAAAATCTTACTGACATGATTTAGATAGTGGTTAAACACCCCCGATTTTGAAAAAAATTGGGGCGCTCATAGGCATCGATTTTTAGTATGAATTTCACCATACTTCACACATATAAGGATATACTCATGATCAAGTCAAATCGATAGAAGTTAGAAATCTGGCCCATAGTTTGCATAAACTGCCACGTGTTCACCTTTTCGTCTCTCCATCATGTCTAAATCATTTTATATGACGTCATTCCAATAAGATGAAATACATGACAACAGTATTCATGAACACACTTCAATTCTGATCGCAAAAGGTCAATTCTTTTGAACAATACATGCTGAAGAAAAATTGAAAAAAGAATACTGATACCCTTACTTCAAAAATAGAGAAATTAGCAAAGTAGGAAGGTGCAGAGTAAGAAAAAGAGAATGATTGTTGGATTTATGTCAAAAATAGTATGTATCTTACTGTGTATGTGTGGGGTGGGTATGACATAGCTCTAGTAGTGCCTTATCACAACTACGTTAACACCTTGGACTTTTTTTTATTCAAAATGTAACTACAGTAAAACCTGTGTATTGGAAACAAAATTGTTCAAAAATTATTCCTTAAAAGACAGGTATTCCATATAGAGATTTCAAATACTTCCATATAGAGATTCATGCACCCAGGTGTTCCATACCAAGAGGGGATCTGTCAGACAGGTTTTACTGTAAATGTTTCCTAGTGCCATCTGTTAAGATAGATTTACATATTACATTTTGGTGCATGCAAATTGCCATTTATTTCTACTCGTAGTACTCTAGTAACATGTACTGTACTTCATATTGTAGTTTGTTCATGGGCATTCTAGTGACTTTATTTATATCTCACTTTTAGATGCTTTAGCTTATACAGGGTGGTCAAAAAAACGGAAACCCTGTATTTTCCTCACATCTTTGTCATTTTAAGAAATTACTCCCTGATATTTCACACATTTGTAAATCATTCAATGTCCTACCACCCTACCATATTTCACGACCATCAGACTGATAGTCACAATTTAACAGCACTTTGAACAGCATGCTTCAGGTTTGGCCATCATCACGCTGGAGGCAAACCTGCACAGTTGTCAATGATCCAAATGCATTCCTCAGCAGGTATGGCCTGAATGATACAAATGATCTCACTTTTGAGGTCTGCAATTGTCCTGTGGTCATTATTATACACTCTATCTCTGCCATATCCCCATAGGTAGGGACACTTTGCACAACATATGCAGGTTGGTCTTCAGCTCAATAGTGGCCACTGGGAATGCTCTTTAAAGTGCTGTAACACGGTGACTATCACTCAGATGGTCATGAAATATGGTAGGCTGGTAGGAAATTGAGTGATGTACAATTGTGCAAAGTTATTTCTTAAAATAAGATAAGATATAAGGAAAATGGTGTAGGGGTTTCCAGTTTTTTTACCACCCTGTATTACACATGGCGCCATCACATTTTATGTTACCACTAGAAGTGAGCATGGTGAGCATTTTTGGAAGGATTCCTAATTAGGAAATTTAAATGTAATATATGAAAAAGTCTGTTACATGTACATGTATATGGAAGAGTACTCGCATATGAAAGTACATATTTGGTTCAGATAAAACTTTTGTGTACATCTTTTATATCTTTGTGATTCTATATTTTTGTTTCAGGAGATATCACATTTCAAAAACATCACTATTTCCGAACACTCTGCTTTCTTTATATTGGCACACTCAGGCTTTGAAATTTGCACCTTGAATAGCACCATTTAAGTTAAATTTTATTAAGACATTCCCTTTATTGTAAGATTTAATTTAAATTATACAGTACTATTCTAGACTAACATTTCTAATTTGATACATTAAGTTTTGTGTATTGCATCAACAAACGGATAAAATAAGGAATGGTGTCTTAAGTGTCAACAGTTTTGGATTAACTAAGTTAATTTCGTTATGGTTTGACCCACCCCTCTCCGAACGAAACCATCATTTACCCCCTCCCCTAACGAAACTAACTTTGTTATTCCACTACTGTTGATAATTGGACATCATCCCTAAGATGCTATGAAGATTGCTTGTTGAAAACAATATGTAGCACCTATTATTAGAAGTAGAAAACACTAAAAGCTTTATAGATTCTAGAAAATGTTTATTTTATTACTAGATATACTACTAAGTAGTATCTATTTATTGGCATTTTAGGACAAGCTTATTGGTAAACTGAAAGAGTCAATCAAAAAATTCTTTGGAGATGACCCTAAACAATCTAATGATTTTGCAAGAATAGTCAACAGCAGACATGTCGAGTAAGTTTTACACTTTTTTTTCCTTTTAAACTTTTCATTTATGCTTTAGGCCACTAAAGGCAATTGTTTTCTTATTGAGATTGTGTTTTTAATAAATAAATAAGTAAAAGACTTTTCCTCTGGCACAGTTCTCACCAATAATAGTCGGGAATGGAAAGTCATCTTTCACAAAAATTACTCCAATATGTACAAAAGTTATGTACATGTATATATACATAGAAATGATAATATTGAAAGAAATTAAAACAATTTTGTGTTAGTCAGTACTGGTGTCAAGGATATATTGTTGAATGAATTTTCCATCTTCATGATTCAGCCGAGTGAGAAAGTTTGTAGAAAATGGAGGTGGAAGTGTTGCACATGGGGGTGTCATTGATGAGAAAGCAAGGTACATCTCTCCCACAATTCTTAAAGATGTTAAAGACACTGACGCAGCAATGCAAGAGGAGGTATGTATAATAACTCAAGATTTGAAGGAAGTTCTGGCATCACTTGTTCCTTGAGATCATTTCTGATTCACAATCGTCCAAGTCAAACACAACAAATGCATTATATTAATTATTTATATGTATGATGGCCCCGGAGGTTCACTCTAATTAATTTGAATAGGTATGTGCAGCACAGGCAATTTTGGCTTCGGGCATAAACCATGGAACCTGGCCATTCTGAGAGGAAAAAAACATGGAAAATTTGACGAGAAGAGAGCCTTTTTTAAGTCAAAAATCAGTTTTTCTACAAAAAATGGTAATAAATCTGTAAAATCAGTTGGCGAGGTCTGGGACAATTCACCCGAAAAGTGGATTTTGTACCTAATATACCAATATTTTAGGAAATTTACTCCCTTTTATAAGTCTGAGAGGAAGTATACATGGAAACTTTTTAATCTTGAGAGGAAATTGACATGGAAAAAATGCTCAAAAAGGGGGTCTTTGGCGCGGCACATAGGTATTGAGAGGTATATTGGAGTGAACCCCCCGGGATGATGGCCAACCAATAGTGCTTCGTTTCAGCTTACAAAGTTTGCACTATAAAAAGTGTGTAGTTCAAGGACAATTCCAGCCATCAATTTGACTTGGTTAATGCAACCCTCCTACAGTAAATATATTCATGTTGTCCTGAATACCTAAGTTCTAATATTATTTGAATGGGGGAGTATAATGAATATTAAAGTCTTAAGTCTTTCTAGAAGGATAAAGTAGGAGGAGAAGAAGATGTCACAATTTATAAATGCACCATATCGTTGAATTGTAGATATTTGGTCCTGTATTACCCATCATGCCAGTTCAGAATGAACAGGAAGCCATCAACTTCATCAATAGCAGGTACAGTATATAACAATAACATCATTTAGGTTAAATGTATAAAAATATTTATAGGCGATGTAAAAGATAACAAATGCATAGGTCCTCCACAACACTGTGAATTTCATTTCAGTAATAAGAATTTATTTTGAAAACGAAACAATAACACAGTTTAATACTATTAACTATTACTAATACAAATGCATTATTTACTTAATTGCTGAAAGGAGTCACTTGTTTTATTATTCCAGGAAAACCTACTTGCTATGTATGTATTTCCCCTTATTCCAGGGAAAAGCCATTTGCTATGTATGTGTTTTATCGTATTCCAGGAAAAAGCCACTTGCTATGTATGTGTTTTATCTTATTCCAGGGAAAAGCCATTTGCTATGTATGTGTTTTATCGTATTCCAGGAAAAAGCCACTTGCTATGTATGTGTTTTATCTTATTCCAGGGAGAAACCACTTGCTATGTATGTGTTTTATCTTATTCCAGGGAGAAACCACTTGCTATGTATGTGTTTTATCTTATTCCAGGGAGAAACCACTTGCTATGTATGTGTTTTATCTTATTCCAGGGAGAAACCACTTGCTATGTATGTGTTCGCCAATGACAAAAAAGTGGCTGAGAGAATGATCAATGCAACATCCAGTGGAAGCTGTGTGGTCAATGACTGCTTGGTACAGGGGGCATGTAAGTTCATTACTACTTTTTTCAAGGCCTGACTGCGTCGCTAACATGCTAAATATAAGAGTTAGCTGACGTTTGGGAGTCTGACTTACCTTCTAAAGGTTAGAACCCGAATCTTAATGAAACCATATCACCTTTGTTGCGTCGATGATGATGCATAGCATTTGATAGAAATTAGCGTAAATGCTTTTCCGACTTTTCATTTTTCATCAATGTTGACTTCCGGGAAGGCGTTGTAGTTATCACGAAATAACGCATTGACCCTTGAACTTTACTTTGTTGACGTGTCAACCAAGCATGTCTGGTGTGAAAATTAAAAGAATATTAAGCAATGTTCTACATCCGCCAAGCAAGTGAAGTAGTCAATATTTAAAATTACCAATTTCAAGTGAAGTACGCAACGAACGAAACTGCGTGATCTACACTCCCACTATTGGTCTGAATGAAATGCTACGTAGAAATATGAGCCGTCTGCTGTATTAGTCGATTAATAGAGTAAGACCTGTTGGTGATGCTTTATAATTTAGACCAAAACATTGAAGAACAAACGAACCTGTAAATCGTGAAAACAACGAACAAATATTCGGTTTTCACATATGTTCGGTAATTTTTCGTATTGAAACTTCCGGAACTTACAAGGAAATCATTCATTTTCTCGATCCATGATTTACCTCTTGGATGTTGTGGCAAATGCTCCATGGTTGACGGAACAAAGGTGATATGGTTTCATTAAGATTCGGGTTCTAACCTTTAGAAGGTAAGTCAGACTCCCAAACGTCAGCTAACTCTTATATTTAGCATGTTAGCGACGCAGTCAGGCCTTGAAAAAAGTAGTAGTTCATTCAAATGCGGAGGAGTTGCAATGAACCTTAGAATGAAAGCACAGTAATTTTCTGATACTGCATATAGTAGAAAATTGCAGGAGGTTGTGGCTATCACATTTTGTATCCAAATTATAGAGGCAGGGTCAATATTACATTGTCTGCCAAAATAACGTAATTAATTCAGTTAGGTCTTAACCCCCCTCCCCCTTCTAATGAAAGCCCCCCCCCCCCTTAACGTAATTAATTATGTTTTTTGACGTTGAAACATTGGACATTGAAATATTGACCCGGCCCCTAATCATAGATCAATGAATGTTGAGCTTTCGTTACATGGCACCCCATTCATACAAGATACCATTTTAAATCATAAAATCCACATGAAAGCCACATGAACATATAGAAGACACTGGACTCATCAATGTATGTAAAAATGTATTGTAAAAGAATTATATTATGATTTGCTTGCAGTGGAAACACTCCCCTTTGGTGGTGTGGGGCACAGTGGTATTGGGGCTTACCACGGAAAGTTCTCCTTCGAGACATTCACCCACAAGAGGGCATGCATGATGAAAGAGCTTAAAATGGAAGCTGTCAATGTGTGAGTTCTTATGTTCACTGAGATCAACCATTTCCTATATTTTTCATTTAGTCATCGTTAATACCAGATCTCTCCACTTAGCTATGCTCCATATATGGCAACCATGTCACAATTTATTTTCTACCGAAAAAAGAAAAACTAGTTTCCCATTGTCAATACACATACATGTAGTTGTGGATGAAGTCAATTTTGTTAGTGAAAAGATGATTGTATTGAAAATTGTTGGTTTTCAAGTGATTTTCAAGGTAAATCAACATGTTCAAATTCTTTTTTATTGAGGATGGATGTGTTGAACAATAATGAAATGAACTTATTTCTTTGTGTACTCTTAACATTTGGAAATAGTCCCTAACAAGCTTGAATTTGATTTTAGGTTATCCCTTTTAATTTCAGTGAATATGTCCTACTGCTCCTTTGTACCATCTTATTGAGCATTGTACTCATCAATCCTTATAATTCCATTTAAAAGCCCTCCGTTTTACTTTCATGCTTCTTGTATTTCAGAATAAGGTACCCTCCATATACAGAAAAGAAGACTAATTGGGCAAAGTGGCTGCTGAAGAAACCCACCAAGAAAAACCCAGTTCTAGCATGGGCTCCATATTTACTAATGGGAGTGGTTCTTGCTCTTCTGATCAAGGTATCCAGAACAATGATGTTAACATTTTTAGAAAACTAGCCAATGATCTCCATGTATGGTCAAGAGGAAGTTATGAATGAGATTATTCAAAAAGATTAATCGTTATTTAACTGCAGTTTCTGTGATGATGGGTTGACAAGTGAGAAAGGTGTAACAATTATCAGAATGGTACACTCCTTTTTATAGAAATCATAAGTGTTATCCAAAGATTTAAACAACATGTTTAAAAAAGTAAATTGAAATGGTGAACAAATATAAAAGGTTAAAGATTTTCTGTAACATTTCCAAATACTTCATTTTTATTTACTTCCAGGTTCTTGGGCTACAAAGCTATCTTGGATTCTAAATATCAGTTCACATTCTACAGAACTATGACAATATGATTATTTAAGTGGAGTATGGTGAAGATACAGAGTACTATATATAGTATAATAGAAGTAGTATAATAATGGCCAGCAGAAGGTCTACCAAAGAGATGAATAAATCTAGTTTATAGAATAGTGCCATAATTTAATATAGTACTATTTACAGAAAATAAAAGCAATTAAATCATGATAAAATGCTCAAAGTGAAATGTGTACTATGAAAACACATTTAAAAGTCACCAAAAAGCAGAGTAAATAATGATATATTAATATCAGTAAAAACAGTGACTCTTATTCAGATCTCTATGTGTCAACATTTATGGATTATGACAACATGTGTGTATTACTTTATATCTAAAGTAAGAGTCATTTTGGTGCAAAATTATGTGATTCATTTTCTTTGAATTCAAAAGATTAAAAATGATAACAATATTGATTGGGATGGTATTTTTATGGTCAATGGGTGCCAAAATGTCAAGATTTTGTGTCTTGGGAAGATTTGAATTTTTCAATGATAATTACATGACATGGCATACGGATTCTGCTTGTTGGATTGCAATAGATGTTCTCAGTTTGTTTATGTGAAATGTAAAAGAATGGGTATCGATATGGCGAACTTTTTGAACACACGTTTCTCTTAAACCAGTCATCAAAAATTTCTGAAAATCTTAGAAATTGCCATCTTTTCAATGGTAACAATATAATTTGAAATAGATAAACATACTTTCATATATATTGTTTTAAAAAACACATCAAACACTTGTTTTGTTCTTGGTATCATGTTTCCAGAGTGAAATGAAACATCTTTCCGAACCTCATTGGAACAAAACGACATAAACACAACATGTTTAGGTCTCTCAATATTATAATTGTACAAAGGAAATTTTGGTTGATTTTAAAAAAGTATCTTGTTAATGAAATAAAAGGTTTTTCTTGATTTTTATCTACTTTGGGGGAATTTTGTTTTAATTTTTTGAATACTTTTTTAAAATCAACCAAAAATTCCTTTGTATAACTTTAATATTGAGAGGTCTAAAAACATGTTGTTTATGCTATTTTGTTCCAACAAGGTTCGGAAAGACATTTTATTTCATTCTCAAGAATTGGTAGAAAGGAGCAAAAACAACTGCACTAAAAAAACAAAAAATGTTAACAAAAACAGTTATATAAAATATTTCTAAATAATTTTCGCATTGAATTGTTGTCAATCAGTCAACATTACATAAAATACCATGTTTTTTACAGAATGTTTTCAATGATTGGTTTAAGAGAAAAACATTGTTGAATTCAGTTCTCCATATCGATACCTATCCTTTGTGTTAGTCAATAATATTTTCATTATTTTAGTTTTTATGGATAATATGAAATGAGATAATTATTTTTTATTGTTTATATGTTAGGACAAATGAATGGCTGGACCAATGTTAAGAATATTAAATGCAGCAATAAATGTTCCACGTTTTAAATTATCGATTGTTAGTGTAATTATCAAATACTTGTGATGTATGTATGCAGAGTCATTGCTTATATAGTAACTTTACTAGAATCCAAACATTTTGATAAGTTTATGTTGTACAGTGAGATCAAAATACCACAACACAGTCCATGCATTCTAGGGATACCAACACCCACGATGCCATTTATTTTTCCATTTATATGGAAAATGGTCAATTTAAACCCATTTCTTGGACGAGTTCCTCAATATTCTTATACTTATGCAGTAAGCGCAGATCTCAAGTTTTGATTAACACATAAAATGACATTCCATAATTCGTAATGATGAAGACTCGACATTCAACAGGAAACAAACATTTTGTCACCGATGTAGCAAATTAAGTATATTTTACTACTTAATAAATGGTTAATGACAGTCGCATTAAGTTATACAAGTATGAGAATAGCATGACGTTCTGATATTTCAATGTAACTCGTTCGAAAAATGATTGCAGTGATTGAAAAACTACAAGTGCACTTGTAAGAAGGTTTCAAACACTGGACTCAACAAAATTACCTCCCCTTCTCACGAGGGGATCTCACGCAAACCTATTTGAATGGTGCATTCACAAAAGGCTGTGAACAAAAAAAGGAGAAGAGTCATTTCAAAAATTAAGGTACATGTATGTCAACATGATTTGAATTTCAATGTTTATTAAAAGGCCATGCAAGATCACGTGACAGTGCTAGAGAATTCGAGTCTGTCGAAATTTGATACTTCTTAATTACTTTTGGCATGATCACTCACTTAGAACATGCGTTTTGATATAAAAAGCTTGATTTATTCTATTGGAATATACACTGTTAAACATCGGTGCAGGGTGACATCGCATTTCAAAATTCTGTAAAACACCTAAACTATATCAGGCGTATGTACAAAATAAGATTATTTTAATTCAAACTCTAACAACACAGAGGGTAAATTGTTAAGATGGTGTTGAATATCAAGAGTTCGGTGATACTAAATGATGGGAACCAGCTACCACTGTTAGGCCTTGGAACATTTCAGGTGAGATAAAACGATGTGTTTTTCGCATGGGCGTTTATTTAGAAGCAATCTGAAATAACAGCCAAATGTCTTTAAAGAAATTATCCGCCCAAGAAATTGCAATAGACAACTCCAATAATAGGGGAGGAAAAGTTAGTATTTTCACTTTTTGAGCAAAAATGTCTAGACAAAGATTTTGTTCAGCTGTGTCATAATCAAATAAAATGATATATCTATAATCAAGTTAAGAAAAAATTGTAAGAACTCTTCATGAATTTTGCTCTTATCATGTCATGAAAGTCAAACAAACATCATTTCAGGATAATCATTCAATTTTTTTAGGTTACCTGGCAATATATTTTAAAAAGAGAATGTCCTGTTTTCAATTGGATATTTTTGCATCTTACATCTTTAATGACCTAATATTTGATCGAGTATCTCAATCATTTTCATAAAATCAAATTAGTATAGTAAACATTGGCGTGCTTTTTGGAAAGATTATTTCCAACATTCTACATTCTTTATCCGATGAGGCTTTATCCCAAGAATCCATTATACCTAAACCAATTACCAATTATTAAAATTGTCGTATATACTCACAGAAAGAGAAATAAAATTATGAGAATGATAAGGTGATGTATTTAAAACAGGTTGATGACATGCCTTTGTAGCCATATCACGGGTATGAACCAAAGCCCCGCAATTAATAAAAATCGCGGGCAAGTTCCAGCTGGAAACGCGAGGATTATCGTGATTCTTTAGCTTTGTATCACCTGGGGAAATAGATCAAGAGGGTAAAAAACATACTACTGTTCCCGACCCCTCATACACGTTTTGCAATTCATCCGATCTAATACTCATCACATTTCTTAGGTGACCTTTCTTATTACGAAAATGGCGCGGAATATCAGACTGCAGATTGTCTAATACAACATAATAGGTTATGGGCTAGCCCTTAAATTGCGGTATGGAGGTAGAATTTTGGAGACCATGTTAGTTACATCCTAATTTGTAATTCTCACCACAATTTGGCAATAATTAAGCAAAATTTTACAGCGTTTAGGAAAAAATCAATATTTATACCCCCCGCATGACAAAAGTAGGGGGTACATAGAAAATAATTAATAACTTTACAAAAACATTATGAATAACCACAATTTTTTCAGAATATATACACATATATGTCATTGCTAACTGGTAAAAAATTGGTGGCTATAGGTATGATGGTTGCTATGGAAACAGAATTTGATTGTCAAAATTTGCTAATTTGTGTCTATTTTGGGCGGGCTAGTTAACGAAAAAATCCTATGCTAGCCAGTTATGCTGCAAAAATAGCATTGTTTTAAGGTTTAGAAAATTGCATATATATGTCCTGCATGCATTAAAATTGGAATGATGATTATGTCTCAATTAGAAATATTTTTTTTTACATTTTCTATGACCCACCGCCTCTAAATAATCAAAAGTGGGCGTGGCATTTAACTGAATGATCAAGCCTACTTAACAGTAGATAACTTCAATTGTATAGCCAGTATTATCACAATTTCAACAGAAGGTATGATTCTTGTATCAGTTAACATTTTCTATGACTTTTCTATCCCTCCTCAATATTTGTAACCCCTCCCCCTCCTCCACCACCCCTCCCGCAGGACAAAAGTAGGGGATACATTGAAAATGATTAATAACTTTACAACAGTGCAGCAAATAACCACCAATTTATCAGACAGAATAAATGTATATGTCATCAGTAATTTGAAATAATTCTTGGTGATGATGGTTCTATAGAAACAGGATTTGATTGTTGTGAATTTGTGTAGATTGGGTGGGAGGGGGCTAGTTTATGAAGAATCATATCCTAGTAAATTATGCTGCAAAATACCATTGTTTTAAGGTTTAGGAACTGTGTCCTTTATATATTAAAACTGAAATAATGATAGGATGTCATTCACAAATAAATTTTTTGATGAGATTATAATAATAGGTGACATTAACAAACTTTGATTTAGCGGCAGAAAAGAAGGTCTATAATATTGCCCGATCCTTTAATGTTTCACTGCAATGCTTTCATTAGATTGGGGACATTCCATACCCTTTTGTGCTGTGGGAAAATATATGAGATTAAGGGTTCCAGGACATTCTTATAGAATCTTAGATATTTGCAGTTCAATTGATGGTAGTGGAAAACACTTCAACAAGGCCTTCAGAGTTCATAAAGTCATGAAAGAAGAATTGGAATCCTTGTTGATTTCAAAATTCCATGAATCTGGAGAGTATTCAGCTTACTTATCGTATGATCTGTAAAATGAAGCCCTCTGATTGGTCAATTACCTTCTGAGTAAAATGTATTGGCCTAAGACCACACGATAAAAACGTTATAGAATGATTTGAGGTGCAATACAGGATATATTCTGCTCTCAATATTATGTATTGGCACTCGACTTTGTCTCTTTCCAACACAGAATTTCTCGAGCAGAATATATACTGTATTGCATTTCAAATCATTCAATAACTTATATTACTGCTACTTCAACTAAAGCCTTAGTTGATATTGAAAACAATGAGTTATCACAAAGTACCAAACATTTAAGAATGACATGAAGAATGGAAAGTTTGGAAAGACTGTCCAATACTGAGTTACATATCAGAACATGATTGATATATCACTGTACTTTGAAACACCAGAGAATGGAACATCAGCCAGTTGACGAAATGTGTTTGGAAATTTGGCTACTTGGTAAAAGGACATGTTGCCACAAACACTTTCACTGTTTTGTAAGTTGTGACACACCCTTCTCCCTGGATAACTGCAATTTGCTTTTTGCTAAGCACCATAGAATCTGTCCTCATGGACTTTCCATGATTCCATGGCTCTCCATGAGTTTTTATTACAAACTGAATGGTGTTTCTTCATCTTGATTTGGGCGCATCAAATGATTTAGTATTGATCCTAATACGGGCATTTAACAAATTCTTAAGAAGCAATAGCGCCTAACACTGGGTGGATTTTTTGACTTGAGTAAGTGCTGGAAGTCCTGATGATATGCATAGGAGTGTTGATTCTGTGATATCAAATGGCTTGATAAACACCACCAATCTGCACTCATGGTACATTAATAGTACTGTACGTGCCATTCTATTATGGTGGTGTACAGTGTCCATGGTACTGTACAATACTATTTTAGTCTGGTACCATATATTACCATACCATACAGTACCATAGCCCAAACAGT